TGACTCGACCGAGAACCTCATCCGCACTTCAGAGCGCATGGCCGCCGCCAACGCCCAGCGCGCGCGCGAGCAACAACAAGCTACTGCCGCTGCCGCTGGAGCCGGTTCCCGCATGTCTGCTCCGCCCCAACTTCACTCCTCCAATAACAACCACAGTAACTCCCTAGCCCCGCCTGGCGGAATGACTGGCGCAGCAGCCATCGGCGCCTTTGGCTCCCTCGGAACCATTCGTCGCGGGAAGAGTATCATGATGTCTCGCAACCTGGGAACTATGCGCCAAGCGAAACTGGAGAAACGCAAAGAGGCCCAGGCCGATCCGTCAGATGATATGATTCTGCGTATCCTCCGCATGAGGCCTGAGGCTGCGCATTATTTGAAGGAAAGACATCGGCAGAAGGAGAGGATGGCGGCGGCGGCGGCGGCTGCCATGATTGTGAGGCAGAGCGTGAATCAGAAGTTTGGTGGTGGTGGATTCGATAATGGTGGAGGAGGACTGAGGGTGAATAAGCGGCAGAGTGTGGTGCCGCCGGTGCCCAAGTTGCCGTTTGGGGCGGGGACGTCGGGGGGACAGGTTATTGGTGGTGGACAGTTTGGGAGGGGTGGGAGGTGAGTATGTGAGTATGTGAGTGTGAGTAGAACGGATTTGTGATGATACGAGGGGGATGGATGATGGAGAGGCAGAACGAAAGATGATGGATGATGATAAAGGAAGGAAGGAAGGAAGGAAGGAAGGAAAGGAAGGAAATGAATTACTTAATGGGTTACATTGTCGTCGTTTTACTTTTTGTCTATTTTGCATTTCTTTTCTTTACTTATACCTATGATATCTGATATACCATATCCGCACTGGAAGGGGCGGGGAAGGGGACGGAGCAAGGGGGCCGGGTTGGAAGGGAAATAGCGTGTTTTTGCTCTTTGATGAAATTCGATTGCTGTTTTTTTTTGTTCTGATAGTTAGGTTCCGTTAGCTTGCGATATCATTCATATCTTCAAGTTGTTGTTCTTGTCATTATGTATTTGTATTGATTGCTATGTACTACCATAGTTGCTGCTGCTGACGGAACTGAGTGATGAGATGAGAGAGAGAAAGTAAGTAGTGGGGATGATGATGACTAAATGTATAACAGTATAACATTTTGGGGGTCTGGGAAGGATATTTAACTTTGTAGCGGGCAGTTCAAATACAAACATAGTATACTAAGGACTAAGGAGTTACATGTGTGAAGGGGGGTGTGATTGGAGGGTAACTTACTTGTTGATGGGAAATAAGGAAGAAAAGGGTGAAGAGAAGGTAAAGAGAGGGTAAAGAGAGAGTCAAACCAAAAAAAAAAGAGTACCATGTTTGGTGTGAATGTGCCACAGACGAGAGCAAGGTTGGACTGTGCCTTCAATGTAAGGAAAGACACCCACCTACGCGAGTAGATACAAGCAAGACAACAAGGAAAGTTCTCTGCATTAAGTCAATGGAATGAATAGTTCTTCTTCCTTGATGTTCATCTTAACTACCTATACCACTACCAATATTTCCCAAGAGAAACGCTTATGATTCAATTCAATGCCTGGCTGCCTATAATCATGCCATGCTTCCCAGTAAACAAACGTTTATAATAATAATGCTGATTTGATGGATGCTGTTTTCCTCCTCCTCCTCCTCCTCCTCCTCCTCCTCCTCCTCCTCCTTCTCCGTCTCCGTCTCCGTAAAGGGACATAACTGACTGGTGTAAAATAGTTTTCCCACAATCGCATTGGGGGAACCTCCGCTGAACTGCCTGCCTGCCATGTTTCTTTTTTCGGGCTCCAAAGGGATGAAAGTAATAATAAAAGGAAGGGATGAGAGAGAACCGTAACAGGAGGAGACAGCGCCAGATGAAACGTCAGACGAAAGGCGGGGAAGTAGCGATGTGAGCCGTTCAACTACATGTTCTGCTCTCATCCCCTCTCAATCGGGGAAAAATCAGACTCCTTCAATCCTTCACCGACACTCCCGACACCGCACTGGAGCTACTCCCGATGACGGTCGGGGTATCTCCATCCACCGCTGGATCATATTCCTCTTCCCTCACTGCTTTAGTCCTGGTCTTGAACCCCCTCTTTTTATGACCGACCACCTCAGCAGCTTTGTCCTTGGGCAGCTCATCCTCATCCTCATCCTCCTCTTCCTCCCCATCACTATCACCATCCCTGGAACTACCCGCATCATCATCACTCCCACTGATGATATCATAAACCCCTCCTCTACTGCCCCTGCCCCTTCCCCTTTGCTCAGCACCCGCAGCCTCCGCATCACCCCGTCCCGTAACTAACCCTTCACTCTCCGCCCCTTCCTCAGGAATCTTCTCGTCCTTCTTGATGTACGAATCAATGATATAGTATTGCAACGCGTTCATGATGAGCGGGAAAAGCATCATGACGAAAATGATTTGCAGTCGTTCGTTTCCCTCGGTCCAGCCGAGGGCCCAGTCGCCCACGCGAGAGATCCAGGGGAAGACCATGAAGATGATGAGCACGCAGAACTTCATGCCCAAAAGGCCGATGAAGTAGATGATGGATTGCTTGAACCACCAGCTCCAGCGCGGTTTGGTGCCGGGTGGGGAGTGGAGGGGGGTGTAGTTGCCGGATTGGAGGGATTCGGGCGGTTGGCCGAGGGGGGTGTATTGGAGGCCGCGGGAGAGGAGGCGGACGATGAGGATGAGGATTGGGATGCCGAGGGTTGTCTGTCATAAATTCTGTTAGCACGGGACTGTTTCATTGGGAAAATAAAAGAACAAAAAAAGAAAAGAAAAGAAAACGGGGAGGAGAAGGATGACAAACATCAATAGCCAAGTTCAACAAATAAAACGAGCACGGATTGGGCGTGTACTCGTCTTCTCCTCTCGCACTCAATATCCCATATTCCACAGCGCGCTTCACCATCTTGGTCCCCACCGCCACTGCCACCGGATCCAACACTTTGATCTCAAACTTGCCGCTTGTCAACATGGACATGAACACGTTGGCGGCGTGCACCAAGACGCTCCCAAAGACTTGTTTCGACACATCAAAGAACCAGATCTTGACCGGTCTTTGTGGCCGTTCGCGCCAGCGCTTGTAGACTAGTGATAATAGAGCCAAGCAGCCGAGGGCAATTTGGACGAGGATGGCGAAAGGGCCGAGTAGGCGGCATTCGGTGTTGTTGTCTGTTTGATGAGCCATGGGGGAGGCTGGTTGTGATGTTGACGACGTAGGTTGCGATGTGGGAGTCATGGTGACGGATATAACGGTTCCGGTGGGAGCAGGTGGGTTAACGACGTGAGGAAAGGTTTCGAATGGTTGTGGTTCCGTGTCTTGGGCGTCGGGATCGTTGAGTTGGGTGTCTACTTGCGGGTCGACAAAGTAATCGGGACGGGTATCCGCACCAGCAGCTGCCTCGCCACCTAGGCGACGATGGAGGCCGTTGACTGTGCCGATGCGCAGACGATGGTGAGAGGGTAGAGTACCGCCGGCTACTTTCACAACCGGTGTGTCGAGGCGGATATCAACATTGCGACGCTGTCCTGACAAAGATAAAGGCGGTGTTGCGCTGAGGGGAGCAAGACCCGGCGCTAAGGGTCCTGGAGGTGGCGGTGGTTGAAGAGAAGGAGGAAACATTTAATGGTGTGTAAGTCTGGCGGGTTAATTGAAGATTGAGGTCTTGGATATTCCCGAGACAGGTTTCTCCCAACAGAAAAACAGGGTCGGGAGGCGTCGTCGTCGTCAGAGACGATTTAGACAAAAGAGGGGCGCTCGAACACGGTGACGTTGGTGTGTGTCGCACAATGGTCAGATGGTTCAAGCGGCTAGAAGTAGACTCGTCCCGTGGTGATGGTTTCGTTCAACTCTAAAAATGGTAGACAAGGTGATTGTAGGTCACGGTACTGTCGGGACTGGTTTGGTGTAATGTTGGTTTGGTCGGTGCAAAGTTCCGAACAAGTGGGCTTGTCGAGTTTCAGCCGTTCGGTTGTTGAATCCCAGCTTTCCACTTTTGGAACGTTGAAACGTTGAGTTGGAGAAGGAGCAGGACGATGACGCTAAGCGCATTCAGTCGCATTCGCAGTCCAGCCAGTTGGTTGATTTTGGTTATCGTTTTCCGAAATCGCATGTGAAGTTTTGTGTGTATTTCCAAACCGGGAAATGAGACAGTCAGTAGTAGGTAAGTAACAACCAATGTCGCGTATCACAGCCGCCAGAACAAAGCCCTGGTTTGAATCGAGTCAAACTGGAAGAATTCAAGAGCGAGGAGAGGTGAGGGGCCGCCGCCTGTTCCTGCGCTTACAAGTTACCTCCTACAGCACAGCACGTCAAGGGCGGAGGCGATGCACAGCAGCAAGGCCCCGTACCGTACCGTCATAGGCCAGTTGCATAGGCGCATGCTCGACTTATCATTGGCTGTTGGTATTTCTCTGGCCTTACCCTGCAGTGGAGCCGTACAAATATTGCCTGAAAGGATCCACTGGAGGACGGGTGTATCAAGATGGATCCATAACCTAATTGCATGGCGGCTCCGCACCCAGGTCCGCTCGGCTGCTGGATATACTTCCCGTCGTCTAAACACATAACGACATTTTGGCCATTTCAGCCTCTGTCCGTCACAATCCTAAATCTTTTTAGGCACTGTCGGGATTCCAGATGAAATGAAGCTGAGGATTTGGGATGAATGTGTGTTGCGTGGTTATGGTACGAGTATCAGGTGAAACCGAAGGATGTGAGATGGCAGATTCAATATACTGCTGGGATAGTTGCATCTTGCCGTTCTCCAACTTTGAGACATCAATTTCATGACGATGATGATGCACGTGTAGGGACATTGCACGCAAGACAAAAAACTCGCATGTGCTGGCGGGCCGTGGCGAAAGCAGGTGGCTTAGATGCTCTGTTCACATACCGCCATCCCGCATCAAACTTCTAACGGCCGGCCTACAGGGCTGAGAAGCATGCCAGGCTTGCTTCGACATTGAATCCACACGCGTCACATGGCTCAACCGCCTGACAGACGTCATTTCACTTTGGCTATGTGATATCCTTTTGCCGAGTGTTATTTGTGTCGCGTAAAAATTGTCTATCAAGGTTCACGAGCAACAACCATCATCAGGGTGCAGGAAATAGGTGGATTCTGAGCGAGCGTCTGACCAAGTAGTGGGACAACGCCAACACTCCAAAATACAGTGACGAAGGGGTAATGACTAGGTTTGCAATTATCTCGTCGCAATCTCCTCTCACGGCTTCTTGCGCCATGGGGATTCTGTGTCGCCATCAATTCAGTTGTTCCCGCATCCCAATGCCAGTTCAGTAGTTGGAAAGTCATGATGAAATCCTCCCCTAGGATAAAGACAGCCGGGGAGCAAAGGAAGGCCAGCAGCCAAGCGGCCATGAAAGCATTGCGCGCGCCCAAGGGCTTTACAGCTGAAGCCCAACCTAAAAGAGTATAAAAAGCAAAAAAAGTCCATCAAACCATCACACCTTTAACCCCGTCGCATTTCCCCATGCCAACGCAACAACAATGAGGGAGCAGCGCCAAAAATAACAAAATCGATCCGTAAGAAAACGAGTTTAATGATGATGTATGATGTTTCGGTAAGAGGCTTCGTGATGAGAGGATTATGGCAAAGGTACACAAAGCCTATCGCCAGAGCCGAATCCGGCCGCGTGTACGAGATACTGCGCGTCGTTCGTGGAATCTCTTCTGTTGTCATTCGTACACTGGGGGGATCCGATTTGTGATAACAGGGGTTTATCGTTTAGGCGCACTCTGGGACGGTGGGAAGCAGCTTGCGCACAAAGTGAGGGATGGAGCTCCGCGCGTAAAAGGTCAACGGCGACCTGTCCTTCTTTCGGGTCGGTCCCGGCGGCGATGATCTGCTCGAAGCAGCCGGTGGTGCTGATCTACTCGAAGCCGGTGTGCTCGGCGCCGTCGTGCGCGGCGCCGCCCTGGTCTTGGAGGAGGAAGTATTCATAGAAGACGGGCCTCCAGACGATCGTTGTCGAATTCGGAGGCTGTCCGTAGGCCCGTCTAACTGTCAATCGATCCCGTGTTGCCTCTTGATGCGTTCTAGATTCTCCTTGCGAGCATCGAGGTCCTCTTTTGTCTTGTTCATCTTGTCGGGCTGGTGGTATAGTACTGCATAACGGTCAGCGGGCCCCTACGATGGCGACCATGTGAGGTCAGGGACATAAGCACATACCAACGAGGTAGCGGTTCTGAAAGTTGTAACCATTCAACTTATCGCACGCCTGCTTCGCATCCATTACGTCCTCATAGACAACGAAGGCGGTGCCCTTTGTGTTGCTCGCAATGCCCTGGCGAACTTGACTATAGCCCGACGTGTCAGTGAGAGGACGACATGATGGTCGCCAGGGACGGGATGCCATACCGGATAGGTCCGTACTTTCCAAAGAGGTCGAAGAGCTCCTCCGGAGTTACGTTGTAGCTGTCGAAACATGTTAGTCCATGACATGTCCATGACATCTTGACGACAGCGAGGGAGGCGATGGCGTACCTTAGATTCTTTACGAACAAAGCTCTGTTGTATAGAGGCCAGGGGTTAGTCATGCTCAATGGTAGATGTCCAAAGTTGACGTAGGACAGGAGGGCGATTGATGGAGGGACGTATAGGGAATGTAGCCAAGTAGCTGTAGTTAGGTGTAGGCAAGGTGTGTATGTGTGTGTACAGGCGGCAAGCGGGCGGGCGGGCAGGCGATAGGACACCCGTGGGCAGCAGGGTGACCGCAAAGGGACTCGGGGACTCACCGATTCACTTCAGGGCCAAGTTTGTTGGCGCGACTCATATCTCGATGTCGATATTGGTAGGGCTCGACTCGGGGAAACTAATTGTTGGTGATGGGTAGGGCGTTCAAAGAGGGGTGTTTCACGCGACGAAGCTGGAGTGGTGGTGGTGGTGGTGGTGTTCAAGTGCAAAGTGGAAATGGCGAAAGAGATAAGTGAGGCTGATGCGAGACTGGACGGGTGGACGCGGGAGGGATTGAGGAGAAAGTTCGAGTTGGAAACGGCCACAGGCGGGTGGGGCTGCTGCTTTCTGCCTAGCCTGCCCACGTGACGCCACCAGTCAGGGTCAGTGGCCTGCCTGCAGTGCGGTCGGATGGCAGTGGAAAGATAGCAGAATGGTCAGCTGGCACCAACGCATACGCCTGTCTGCATGTGAGTTGCGCTGCACGCACATCAAAACAAGCAATGATCAATTCGTCCAACCTTCCAAACACAGCGCGCGTCCAGGGTCCTGGCAGCCACAAGCCGAGTGTTTGATGCAGGAACGGTCAGATAACGCCTTGAGTATTTCATCCCAATATTGGCCTGAAGGTAACCTTGGTACTTATTGTCCCACTGCGTATACGCAAACACCCGACTGTTGGAGACAACTTCAAGCAACGTGGCTCATTATTATTCATTTCTGCCAAATTTTCACATCTCATTTTGGTATCCCAACAAGCAACTGGATATCCGCCCCGATTCCCGATCGCTTTCCGACGACGGGATTCTCGGGATTAGCAGCTATTGGAATCCGCTAAAGTTCGATAAGATAACCGGACGGGGTTACGAAACAATGATTTGCACTTATCCCTGGACGAGATATTCAAGTGATCATGCCTCACCATTCTGTCACCTCATACCCTGCCCACGATGAAGCCCTCGGTCTGGGATGAACTCCACAGGATTTGCAACCTCCGGAGTAACTCTGTCCGACAGTCTTTTTGTCTTTTTTTTTTGCGACCTTTTCACAGCAAAACGAAGACTCAAACGTCAAGACAGACAGACTACTACCTACCTAGACCAAATAAGGTTTGTTTATTTTGTCCCCTAGCCCCTTTTTCTGTGCGGCCCCCACCTTTTTGGAGCCTCTTGGTATGGAGAAGGCCGGGAGACACCCGACGAACCTCTGGAGTCTGTCTCTTCGTAGCCACGCTCACCCTTGTCTGGGCATCATATCGAGTTGTCATTTGCTGGGGAACTGTCCACTGTTGTTCAGATTACCTGTACAACACCTCTATCACGACATCGAGCGGCGACTGGCAACTCTGATTCGTGACGGCTTTCTTCACACCTGGTTTCTCTCATTGCGACATCTCGATCATGTCTGAGACAATGACATCAGACTGGGATTCTTCACCGGAATAAAGGAGCCATGGAAAACGAAATCGTTCTAGAAGCCAAGAGCGTCTTGGCTATCACTTTAGCTCTTAAAAGAGAGCCAAGGGGCCTCTCCTTTAACTGTTGGCGATATCGTTACTACTCGGCCCTGTCAGCGCACGGCGACACGCCTTTCAGACGCGTCAAGCGGTCAAGAGATTGGAAATCATTGGCGAACAACATTTCCCTTTGCCGGGCGTGTTGGATATAGGAGGTCCCAGGGCATAGCAAGACTGGCCGAGAGCTGCCACCTGCTCATCTTCGTTCCTTGGTCGGCATCTCGGGTGAATGTCAGAACTTAGGTATGGTCCAGTGTCAACGAAAACATTGGCCTTTTGTTCTTCACGGCCGTTGAAATGCCACTTACAACCCTGACGCGCTAGTGCACAATTGGTGTTTCATTTCCGTTTTGCCTCGTTCAAAGACGCTGAGAGTCCCAATTCAGGGACCAATTAAGCCATGACTCCAGTCCCGTCCGCCCAAAGACCACCAACAGTGAATTACTAACCCTGAACACTGTTTGTGTACTGTAGCGCGTTTCAGCGGGCAGGTACCCGCGAACCTCGACAACGCACTTGCACCCACTGCAGGGCTGAAATCGCATCGTCGCCTCCACTTTTCGTAATCTCGAGCTTCGACTTGCTCCCAACTGTTTCTCTTTCCATCCATCATTCTCTCCTCCTTGGCTTGAATTCAACACGTCAATCTTCTCGCTCTGTAATTCTTGACTAGTTAAAGTCTGTCCTTTTCACAATCAACTCGTAATTTCAGCTGCGTTGCAACCATCACGAGAACGGTTCCCGTCAACAAGCTGTGTTCGAATACCGGGAGTGGACGATGCCCTCCGTCACCCACGAGAGGATCCCTTCAGCCAAGAAGAGGAGGCGAGACGATGTCGAGAATTTGTACACTTCGGGTAACATCCAGATTCCATTGTATGCGGACTACATGTCAAACCTCTCATTGCCACTCCAGTTCGCTGACCCCCCCTTCCTCTACTCCAGCTCCCACCCAGCCCTCGACACCACACGCGGAATCCTAGCCGACAAATCCTCCTACGAGAATCCCACCATACATCAGCCTTACCCGCCAACCCTGCGCAAGATAATACCGATCGCCATCAACAAGAAACAACGCATGTCCGGGTCCGATGAAGTCCACCACCGAGAGGATAGCCACCACGGCACGCAAGCCAAGTCCAATTCTCCAACTGCTGCTTTCCACCCCCACCACCTGAAACAACACGCTTTGCTGTCCAAGATCAAATGTCTAGACAGGTGTCATATCTGCTTTCGAAAGCCGAGCAAGAAGGCCGACCTGGATTCGTACGCCGACTGCCAAGGTTGCGGCCAGCGTACGTGCTATGTATGCATGAGGCAATGTCCCGGATGGACATCGAGTTTCCATCATCAAGGGCGACATCACTATACCGAAACCGGAGAACAAGAGGCGCAAGTGCAAGATATTCCCCTGGCGAGCTCAAGTCCTGAGAACTCGTTCGCGATGCTGGATGCGGACACAGAGACCGAGGTGGACTTGGATGAGGTTGTCGAAAAGGAAAGTCCAAAGCTAAAACCAACGACTACTGGATGGCATGCCAACGGCCACCGGGAAATGATATGCGGACATTGCTGCGAAGAAAGAGGGGTCAATGGGGATGTGGTGTGTTTGGGCTGTTTACCTTCCTTTGGGGGATGACACGGCATACATCTCAGGATTCGACACGAACAGTCTGAGCAATAGTCAGACTGCCTCCGCATTTGGATCAAGGACTTCTGTAACAGTGCTACTGCTCGGCCATTAAGATTTCGGACGATATGATTGCTGAGGTACCGCTATCAAATCGTTGGGCTCGGCAAGAAAGGAAGGAAGTGGTATTGTATCGAGGGATAGGAGAGTGATAGAACCTACCATCTCATGGTTGTTTCAGAATGCTCTCTTTCCCTACCAGGACTATTGTAAGTCGAGGGAAGGAATATTGGACGACATCTCCCGCGGCAATATTCCATCAACAAAGGAGATGGAAGCTGGAACCAGAAACGCCAACGCCCTGTCATTCCAAAGAATGATAACTCTAAGATGGGGCTTTACCATTGACGGCATTGCTTGTACAAGAGAAAAAGCACAAATGAGCGCGGAGGTCTGCTTGGAGGAAGCCGAATACTGACCCAATCGTGGACGGTCACTCACAGCATACCGATGTTGATCTTTGCGGCCCGCAACATTTTCGCCACTATGGAAAGAATTTGCCGAAGGACACATTCATCTCTTAGGAACCACGGTTTTCTTATCAACGAAAAAGGGTGGAAGATACATGCGACGCCCACTCTAAACCCTAAATCTGGTATACTTAGCCACACCCAAGAGGAAATGGACAATCGACAGAGAACTGAACTGTAGGTTGGGTCTGTCTACCTATGATGTTGAGTGGAGGAGGAGCTTAAATGATCTCAAGTACTGGAAGTACAAGAACATACTATGCGGCGTCCACTGGCGTGGTACACCCACTAGCTGTCAACCTTGCACGAATAACCCCGTTGCCAGAAACAGGTTACGTTTAATTGCTTGGGAAGGCTCAGTCTTGGACTTAACCTCAGGGATTTTTTCGATCTAGGACAAAACCCTGGGCAGACTAGGCTTAGGAAAAGTGAAGGCGAAACAAGGAGAGAGAAGGAATTAGGGGGAAGAATTGGAGGTGTGCGAAGCAAGGATCGGTAGTGATTAGGGTCTTACCTGCTTCGACACTCATGGCTGGTGATGAGGTCTCACCAGATAGATTCTGAGAAAATTGGGCGAAGGATACAGTAGCATGATATGGACGTTGAAAGGAAAGTTGATAGCATATGGGTCTGTATAGTAGCAAGTCTATCGGTCATGTTTGAGCATGGAGTATGAGGACGGTTACGGTGAAAGAAAAGGGATAGAAATGAAGATCAGACATCATGATGAAAATTTACATATGATATGAACGAGCTTGTGTTTGGCCCGTCGCGATTACTTGATCATTGCAAGCAGCGAGATAAGCATAACGCAATACTATGCAATGGGACGGAATCTACAAGTATCTATCTTGACCGACCTCCCTTGTCTCCTCATTGCAGACGGATATCAACCATATGTCCAAATTTTCTCCTCGCCTACGTAGTCAATTATTTGCTAGCTTGGTCTTCCCATTTACCTCTCCCATACATAATAGTCAAGAAACCGGACACTCTATCATCGGCATCGCGTATCAAACCCAAGCGTAGTATATAGGTTCACAACTCAGATCCAACATAAAACTGATCCCAGTGTATTCATTTTTTTTAAATTTTCTTTTCATTTACATTTCTTTCTTCTTCTTTTTTCTTTTTTTCTTTTTTTGGATAACTTGCGGTAGTAGTGATGCTGAGAACCTGCCTATAGTCCTTCTTCACATCATCTCCTCCTTGCGAACAGGATCGATGGGACATGTCGAACGTGATAGGAAAGGAGTTCACCAAAATAGGTTCCGGTTAAAGTGAGGGATGACAAATAAACATTACTATTTTGTGTGCCACCTCTCGTGGGCTATGTACGGCAATAGCTTATAAAATTATATAAAGTTCAGTTGTTGAGGTCATTCATCCTTTAAGGTAGTTGGCCGATGGGTGAGACTTTTCATTTCAAAGGTACAGTTACCAGTCACAGATAGGGAAAGTATCGCAACAAATGTTTATCCAGTACCATTTAATTACAATATGTACATGTTACAACATATTTCTGCCACCATCTTTCGTTTCTTTCTTTCTTTCTTTCTTTCTTTTTTTGTCTTCCCTTGTAACCTTCAGTACATCTACCTGCTAAGAGCAATATCGTCAATCCTGAGAATCATCTTCACCGTCTCCGCCGCCAGCTCGATCGCGCTTGTGCTGACCAGCAATGGCTGCAGGACATTCTCCTTGGCGATATTCGGGTTGACACCACCGCTCTTGATGCTGACACCGGCATTCTTCTCGCCGTTCTCGTGCCTGTGGCGCAGGTCCGTCACCACCTTGATGCTGTTCAAGCCAGCGTTCTCCGCCAGCGTCGTCGGGATCACCTCCATGGCGTCCGCGAACGCCTTCCAGCAGATGGCCTCGGTGCCGCTCAGGGCGCGCGACTGCTTGGCCAGCTGCGAGGCGATCTCGATCTCGGCGGCACCGCCACCGGCAATGAGCGCCTTCTTCTTGACCAGGCAGCGGATGACGCAGAGGGCGTCGTGCAGGGAGCGCTCGGCCTCGTCGAGGATGAGGCTGTTGGCGCCGCGGACGACGACGGACACGGTCTTGCCGGCGGACTTGGTACCCGTCACCTTGACCATGCGGGAACCGGAGGAGTTGACTTCCTCGACCAGGTCGGCGCTGCCGAGCTTGTCCTCAGTGAAGGAGTCGATGTCGGCGATGGGCTTGCAGCCGGTCGATTTGCAAATGAACTCAACTTCGTCGCGCTCGATGTCCTTGACGGCGAGGATGCCGAGGCGCTGGAGGAAGTGCAGGGACAGGTCGTTGACGGCGTCGCGGAGGATGGATTTCTGGATGAAGAGGACGTTGCACTTGGCTTTCTTGATCTTCTTGACCATGTTGAGGAGGTAGGTGCGCTCTTCCTTGACGATCTTGTCCATCTGGCGGTAGTCGTTTACGGAGATGGTGTTTTCCATCTGCAAGAGTGAGTTGTTAGTGAAAGCACGAAAAGGGCAATGTTTGGGCATTTAAGGGCCAGCAGGCAAGGTAGGTAGGTTATGGTCGCCAGAAAGGTATACGCACATCAGGCTTGGGAGGGCTGAGCTGGAACTGAATAAGACCGATCCTGGCCTTCTCCATCCTGACGGGACCACCAGCGCTCTTGATGACGGGCTGTGTAAGGACGAGACCATCAACCAGCTCGCTGTCCTCGATCGTACCGCCGACCTTCTTGATTATGCGGATGTTCTTAAGGTCGACATTCTCGGCGGTCTTGAGATCTATCGTCTTGGTGACTGCGTTGACGGCCATGGGGCCGAGAAGGTTGGAGTATTGTGACACGATCTTGGAGGAGAGCGAAGTGTTGGCGGCCTGAAGGAGCGAGGCGGTATCTGTGAGGGAGATGGGTTGCGACATGTCGTGGAGGACGTCTACGGCAGCGGCGGCGGCTCTTTGGAAAGCTTCGGAGATGACTGAGGGGTGGATGCCCTTGCCTAGTAGCCTGTCGGCGGCACCGAGCAAGCTACCGCAAAGGACGACGACCGAGGTTGTGCCATCACCGGCCTCGACATCTTGGGCGTGCGACAGCTGGACGAGCATCTTGGCTGTGGGGTGCATGACCGACATGCTCTTCAACATTGTGCTGCCGTCGTTGGTGATGATGGTCTCCCCCTTTCCAGTCATGATCATCTTGTCCATACCCCGCGGTCCCAGCGACGTTCTGACGGCATCGGCGACGGCTGGTGCATGTCTCTGTGTCAGCACCACAGACAACAACTACACAACACGGAATTATGATAAGTTGTAAGCATACCTCTGGCGGCGACAATGTTGGATGAGCGAACGGCAATGGGCTTCTCCTTGTCCTGTTTACATTGTGGGCTATCAGCAACTGGCTTGCCACAGAGCTTCACCCCTCCTGGAGCTTTCGCACCGACTCCTATCGAGGGGTCAGGTTCCAAAAAGCGGGACGCACCCTGAAAGTCGCATTGCTCGCCGTCTGCGTAGCTGCCGGTGCGGTCGCCATGGTGCAAGCTTGTTTGATCTGGTATTTGGGATTATGGGAGATAGTAGACGGGAGGTCGGATGGGGGGTCAGAAACTGCCGGAAATTCGACTTGACAGTTTTGGGGAATCGGCTTGCGCTGGGTGCAGGCAGTGTTGTGTTGTAAGGCAGAGCTCTCCTCTTCTCCTTCTTTGCTGGTCTGGAATCAATGGGCCAAAAACACACACACACACACCGTCCCCTCCGTACCAATGTTTCCACTGCGGGACCGTAAAGTGAGTGCTGGCGCGGGCGCAAAGGTGGGCTGGCAGGTGGTAATTTTTTGTCGGCTGCTTTTGCTGAGCGGTGGGCGGTGGAAAAGGTACCTGCGGCGCTGTAACTTACGCAGTCTAACCGGATAGGGTTAGGTAGGTGCTATCAAGGTGGCACCCACCCGTAGCTCCCTCGCCCGCAAGGCAGCGCATGGATTACGGCAACAGTTGAGCTTCGACCCTCTGTCAGTGAGTGGCAGTTGGACCTTGACGAACCATCTCCATCGATCCATCATATCAAGCACTGAACACCCATCAAACCAACCTACCCGACACACCACATCAAACCCGCGCCGAGATCTCTACAACCCCACGAACGACCCGACGTCAAACAAGGAATCTCTCGACCGGCGCCATCGCGACTTGATTTACCGATCCGATCCCTTCGATTATCCACCTTTCTTCGCCTTAGTCCAAAAGGGAAGCGTCATTCCCACCCGCCGTCATCATGGTATGCTTGCAGTCGCCCTATACCAGAAGGTGCCGCCACTTTCCACGACTGACACCTGGAATAGCCTTCTGCTACAGGTCAAAACTGGGAGAAGTACAGGAAAACGTTTGGCGACGATGAAGTCGAGGAGAAGAAGATCACTCCCCTCTCAGACGAGTATGTTGCCGCCCAAGAGAGCCCGCCCACCACCACCACAACGGACGAGTCGTCTAACCCCCATCAAGGGATATCCAGGTCCTCAAGACATACGGCGCCGCACCCTACGGTGCTGCCATCAAAAAGCTAGAACAGCAAATAAAGGAGAAGCAGCAGAGCGTGGATGAGAAGATTGGCGTCAAGGTATGCTAGTTTTGCGGTGGCTACCCTACAAACCGCGAAGCGCATCTAGCTGACCAGTGATACTTTTGGTCTACAGGAATCAGATACCGGCCTTGCGCCCCCTCACCTTTGGGATGTGGCAGCCGACCGTCAGCGTATGTCAGAAGAGCAACCGCTTCAGGTAGCGCGGTGCACCAAGATCATCCCTGACGAGAAGGACGAATCGAAGAGCAAGTACGTCATCAACGTCAAGCAGATCGCCAAGTTTGTGGTCCAGCTGGGTGAGCGAGTCAGCCCGACAGATATCGAGGAAGGAATGCGCGTCGGCGTCGACAGAAACAAGTATCAGATTCTCCTTCCGCTGCCTCCCAAGATCGATGCGAGCGTTACCATGATGACGGTCGAGGAAAAGCCTGACGTCACATACGGCGATGTCGGTGGTTGCAAGGAACAAGTCGAGAAGCTACGCGAGGTCGTGGAGATGCCCCTCTTGTCGCCAGAGCGGTTCGTCAACCTCGGTATCGATCCTCCCAAGGGCGCCCTGCTATACGGACCTCCCGGTACCGGTAAGACGCTTTGCGCCCGTGCCGTTGCCAACAGGACAGACGCCACCTTCATTCGTGTCATTGGTTCCGAGCTGGTTCAAAAGTACGTCGGTGAGGGTGCCCGTATGGTCCGCGAGCTTTTCGAGATGGCCCGCACCAAGAAGGCCTGCATTATCTTCTTTGACGAAATTGATGCTATTGGTGGAGCCCGGTTCGATGACGGCGCGGGTGGTGACAACGAAGTTCAGCGTACCATGTTGGAGCTCATTACGCAGCTGGATGGTTTCGATGCCCGTGGCAACATCAAGGTCATGTTCGCTACTAACCGCCCTTCCACGCTGGATCCCGCCCTGATGCGTCCCGGACGTATCGACCGCAAGATTGAGTTCTCTCTCCCCGATCTCGAGGGTCGTGCCAACATTTTGCGCATTCACGCCAAGAGCATGTCAGTCGAGCGCGATATCCGATGGGAGCTCATTTCTCGCCTGTGCCCGAACGCGACGGGTGCTGAGTTGCGTAGTGTTTGCACGGAGGCGGGCATGTTCGCCATCCGTGCGCGCAGGAAGGTGGCGTCGGAGAAGGACTTTTTGAGTGCGGTGGACAAGGTCATCAAGGGCAACCTCAAGTTCAACTCTACTGCGGCCTATGCCCAGTACAACTAGATGGGGAGGAAGAAGCGCATCAATAGCGGAACGGGGAGTTTGGGGTTTTTGGTTTGTGTTGAAACCGGAAGTCTAGATGTGTAATAGATGATGAATCAAGAGCGGCTCGAGATGGCACTCATAGCTGGGGCTTAGGAGAGTTGGGCCGCCAGATCCCACACAGTAGACACAATGCATTAGGCTCTCCTGACAAGCGAAATGAACATACAGACGGGATGAATAGGTATCATGCCTCGTGTTGTTGATGATAAATTTGAGTTTGAAGCGATTGCATACCTATGTGATAAAATGTGACAATGAAACTCCACGGCAGACATGGTGAGATTTGTGACGATGAGGTGTTGCGACTCCGCCGCCGTGGATATCCAGACTTCCAAAATGGGGAGACGGAGCTGCTCCCGGGATACCCTTGGCAGTGACACCATCCAAGCGAAGCGATAAGGCAAAAAGGCGGGTTACGTTGAACGATAAGGAAGCTGTGTGCTCCAGACGGGAGCTCAACCTAATCGTGTCGGGTGCCGCCGTCGAGATACCGGAGGACAGAGAAGTCATGCATCGAAAGGGGGAAAGGAAACAAATGGAAATCAAGCGAAGGGGAAAAAGTTGAAAAAAAAATTAGAAACCGTGGTCGCGCTGGGGGTCGAACCCAGGACCTATGCATAACTTCCAATGGCTTGGAGGTATCTAATTGCGTGTGTTAGTATGGGACAAACACTTTGGAGAAGGTATCTTCGGGGTCAAGACTCACAAGAGCATCGCGGTAACCACTCCGCTACGTGACCATTTCTGGTTTTTTGGTTGCCTACTTGTGCCGGATGGTTAGCTTATAACGGCAGGTGAGGGGTTTGTAGATGGCTTGGACATAGATAACCCTAACCCCCCTGAATCTCAGAGCTTCTTTAGCTGATCTTAGCTAACAATGCGATGACGCATCACCTCAGCTGATGATATGATTTGCCCGCCGGCGTCCGCGACCCGCGTTCATCGGCCTCACTTAATCTCTCCGGTGGTTTCGAAACCTTTGCAAGCGATATCACGACCCAAACAGACTTGGAGGTCCGTCTGCCACAGCTTCAGCATCTCCCCTGTTCTGGAAATATCTACCTAAGTACAGACACTGCCCGGTCATCACGTGTGCATCACCATCACAACATGGCATTTTACATGTCCACTCACCTACCTGACTCGGCCGCGCACGCGCGCACGTACGCACGCACGCACACCACCACTGCCCCCCCTGCACTGGAGAACCTACCGGACGATGGCTCCTCCAAGCAGAAGTCTCCAAGAAGGACCATCGGTCTATCACAATCTTTCACCCCGCTAGGTCGTGGCACCCTTCTGACCCATTGAGCCCTTCTAACCCACCACGTGCCCGCTGAGTATCTCTTACACTAGTATCGCATCATCACATCCCACCTTGCAAGTCCTTGCCAGGCTCCAGGCTCGTCAAGGCTAGGACAAGCCGTTGAAAGGTTTGGAAGCGATAAGCGGCCGACAGTCCCACTCCGCGACTCCCGTCCGCGGATCCCACTTTCTAGCTTCGTTCGTTCTCTGCCCCGGCCGTGCGTCTCAAGTGGGGAGGTGCCGAAGGCGGCGGCGGCGGCGGCGGCAGCGGCATTGCTCGGAGCTTTGACGGATCGATATAGCTGCGCAAAGAGGTTCATCCGGTTTTTTGCGCAAGCACGGCCGCGCGAATCAGGCCGCAGGTGCCCGCTGGTGAGGCTCGGCGCTTGGGATTCTGTGCTGGTGACGTGACTGATACAGTGAGACATTTGGCTTCCAAGGCCAGGGAGGCCAAGAGAGAGGAAGAAGGCTGTGTATACAAAGGGCGCTTCTGCTCATAAAACCGGCGGCGTTTTTCTCGCAGCTTTCTTATTTCGGTAAGTAGCGAGCATTTGCTGGCGGCCTTGGGAGTTCAGGTCTTTGGACATCTACCATATCATTCCTCATAGCGAATACCCACGGCACAGCACACGCATATCCACATCTCCGGTCACCGGAATCCCTTTACCGGATGCGTGCTATGGTTTATCTATCCATCCTACTACATAGATAATCGCGCAAATTCAAGGCGCATTAGCCTGGTGTTTCACCATTTCACCACCGACCCGAAAAAGCCTTGAGGAACACTGAAGCGGACAAAGTGAGGACCCTTGGTGAGCAAATCCCACCCAAGAACAGTCCACTGCCCCGTCCTGGTCCCCTGGCGTTGCCCCGTTCCTAGCCCATCACAGCCCGTCCGTACCTTGCAGCGGAACCGGGGTTGTGGAAGACGAAGAGGAACAAGCGGGTCATTCGAAGGCGCACTAAAAGTCCACCGCACCATTCACCCGCATTGTTGGGGGTTCCCTTCACTTTGGTGCCTGTTGACCCTTCCCGTCCCACACCAGCGAGGCGCAAATCCTATCTTTTCCCATCTTTGCTTTTTTTTTCCCTTCGCTTTCCCAGGCTCCGCGGTCCCGGGTTCGCTTCATTCTTGGCCTCAAGAGGGAACGTACTTCACTGCCGATACCCCCTTTTCGCATCGAGTGGTGTCGGTCGTTTCTCCTCGTCCTCTCGCTTCACCTCCCGCCTGTCACTTCTCACGGTCCACACTGCTACCGTTACTGCGTCGCGTCTGTGTGGTTTCAATTTCAATCTGAGACGACCACTCAGTGCGACAACCTCCCCGACCTGTGCGACCGTCTTGTCCAACCTGACGACACGCCTAGGACGGTCAGACGGGTTCAGTCTGATACTGTACTGTTCATCCCCGAGTCGCCCTGCCCAAGTGTGTTCGGGATTTTGGTCCAGGTTGGATTTGGATTGCTCGTCCACCCGCTCGCCGCTCGCGCTTAGCGACAGACGACACACGACTTCGCCTTCGACTTCGCCATCTTCGAACGAACGAGCGACGCATTCAGACAGTATCGGTATACGGTAGACGACACATTCCTTCAACAATATCCATTGTTCTACACGCAAGCGCGCTGTTCACTCTTTTCAGCCTCACACACCTGTTACGATCTTTTCTGTTGGTTATATTGTCGTCAACAATTCATCGAATTCCAAGATACCCATCGCGCCGGTCTTCGCAACCAAAAGCAAGAAACATTGCACGCTATATGACGAGCTTGGACGAAATTTGGATAAGAAAAACGAAAATAATGAGAGAATAGAGGCGATTGAATTTCAATAACTTTTCATCGATACCCAACTTATACCGATCGGACAGGTCGTCAATCACTCCGGCCTGTCCAAGATCCGCACCCACAAGCGGACAATATATATAACATTCTAGAAATACAGAATAGGACGACAAAATGCCCGCGATAGACGTGGCCATGAGGAGGAGTGTCCAAGGGGGGATTGCGGATGGATTTGTCAACTTACTGGTGCGCAGTGTGCAACAACCGCTCGAACAAAGAGATGTCATCCAGGATTTCAACAATGTCAAGACGGCGTTTTCAAGTTGGGACAATTGTATGAAGGTTGCTTACTGCAAGTACGTCAATTCGAACCTTATTCCCTGGCGAATGTGGCGCTGCCGCTGAAATGACACGGGCTGACCTTCTTCTCACAGATGGACCACCATCGGGCTCATGATCTTTGCCGGAGTCGTCATCTTTTCGGTGTGTTGGTGCATAGGTCGCTGTCTCTGCTGTGGTGTCTCCTGCTGTTGCGAGTGCTTCCGATGCCTCCAATGCTGCGGAAACTGCTGCGGTTGTTGCGATCCTCCAGGGGCTCGCAAACACAAGTACCTCGATGCGCCCTACGTTCCACCCGATCAGGGCTATAAGGCTCCGGAGCCGATGGATCATGGCTTCGGAAGCCGTCCGGCACCCACGTATAATCCCCAGGTATCTGAACCCCAGTATGCTGAATTTGAAGTCAACAAGAAGAGGCAGACGATGGGCGATTCGCTGCCTGCTATGCCGGAGTGGGAGGGCGCAGGGAACAAGAAGGTGATGGTGGAAGAGGAGGCTGTGGAGCTGGATCAGTTGAAGAAGCCGGAAGAGAAGACTGCCCAGAGTGCCGGTGCCGATGCTGCTGCCGGGGCTGCGGTCATGTCCGGCGCGGCCGCTACTATTCCGGCAGCAGCACCTGGACGAGGCACAACACCACGACCTAGTCCACCTCCAGGGGGCCAGCAGGGTCCCTACGGAGGTCCGGCCGGTAACAACGGCTTCTACGGAAACAATACCGGTTACGGCCAGAACACACAAGGGTATAATCAAGCATCCCTGACTTCTCCTTATGGCCAGTCCTCATCCCCATCACCATACGGAATGGCCGCTTCCGCCATGGGCCCCGCTGCCGTAGGAAACGCGGGGTACAATGCCCCTGGTGGTGGTTACGGCAACCAACAACAAGATGCCTATGGCCGTTACGGCGAGCCCACACGAAACAACACCTACGATACCGCACGAAGCAACACTTACGATTCCTACGGCGCCAGTACCAACAGCCCTGCCTCTCCTTACGACACCTCACCCTACGATACCTACGATTCCGGCAACCAAGGCGGTTACGGCAGCTCCCAGCAACAACCCTACGGCCTGGCCGCCGGTGGCGTAGCAGCGGGTATGGGGATGGCAGCTGGAAGTATGGGACCTAACCGCGTCCGCTCCCCGCCCGCCGCAGCAATGAACACAATCCCCTATCCTCCAAACCCCATGGCCCGCCGGTCGCCAGCTCCCAAGCAACCACTGAACGGTCTCGGGTACGGAGGACCTAGCACTAATCAGGCGCACGAAATGCCAGGCGATGATTCCTTCCTCGGTGGACCTCGACACCAATCTCCCGCTCCTCAATCAACGGGAGCCACGGGGGGCGGCTATGGCAGCCTCGGTGGACCTAGACACCAATCTCCCGCTCCTCAATCAACGGGAGCCACAGGGGGCAGATATGACGGCTTTTCAAACCAGCCATACTCCCAGGGCAGCACCCAGCAACAGAGGCAAAACACCTTTGGCGGAAACAACAGTTACGGAGGGGGGAACAACGCAGCTAGTTACGGCGACATGATGCGCTCCACACCCTCCCCAGCGCCGACGGGACCGTTGCCTAAGCCTCCGGTGAGGAATAATACTATGGGAGGTCAGAGTACTTTGGGAGGTAACAATGGTGGTAGTCCTGCTTCTGCTACTGGAGGGTTCGACTTTAGTAGTGGGGGTTATTCCAGGCCGAGCCCAACCATGGGACAGCAACAAGGAGGAAGTATGGGAGGGCAGAATGAGGGAGGAGCGGCGGGGTATCCGGGATATAAACCTTACTCGCCGGTGGGTGGAGGAGCAGCAGGAGGAGGAGCAGCAGCAGGAGGAGGAGGGGCGTACAGAGCATGGTGAAATGGCAGCGACGTGGAGGGGGAAAGTGAAAAAGTGAATGATTAACGGGAAAAAGCATGGGGTTGCGGCGTTCTTCTTCTTCTTCTTATTCATGTTTTGGTTAGATACCAGGATCTTTTTGGTCAGTTGGTTGGTTTGGTTCTCGATATCAGGACCACCTACCTACTCCGCGTCATGACATTGACTTCAGAGAAACAATGGCCAGTGCAGGGACAACTTACGTGTTGGATTCTCACCTTTCGTTCATCCATATTTTGTTTACAGCTTGGGATTAAATGGTGGGGAAGAAGGATAGGCAGCATTGCGATTATACCACCAGGACAGGAAATATACCCGTAGGGGGGGGAGGGGCTATGGATGAAGCATGGAGGAGGTATGAATGGATACCTGAAACCTGATTGTTGTTGTTGTTGTTGTTGTTGTTGTTGTTGTTGTTTAGGTAACGTGTTGCAGTTCGTTGAATGGGTGATACCCCAAAAGTTTACTGTCTGTTCCGTCCGTCATGCTGGACCTTTTTGATTGACTATTAATAACCTGTGTGGCGTTCCTCGTTAATCCTGAATAGGTAACTAGTTGGGCACGCGGTTCAACCACTCATTTTGGAACTTGGACAATTTCCCCAATATTGACATGTTTGTGTAATTCTTTGAGCTAGCAGTTTCCACGTCTCGGTAGGGATGCTAAAATCATTAGAAAGCAAGAAAAAGGGTCATCTGAGGCTTAGTCGAGCAGTTTCTTTTTTAATTTGCAATCGGGCTCTGCTTGTACATACCTGGCACACCCGTTGATCATTACCAGGTAATCAGATATGTACCTACCTAGGTAGTAGCTAGCAGACCCCAAGGGAGGTATCATCATCACTTAGGACACGGCTCGTTGTTGAGAGGCTTCCATCCAGTCCTCGATTGGCCTTTACGTTCAGTAGGTAGTAGTCTTGTAAGTACCTTTGTTGTCTGTATGTAGTGTACAGTACATACTCCTATTCATCTCACCACAAACTTCTGTCGCCACTTGGACTGGCTTATATACCTACTCGACTAAAACTCGGTCTTGGACTTTTCATTATTATTGCGACTTTCTCGGCTGGATAGGTAACCTCTCGGTGGCTGTTGAGTGGTTGCCGGCATGGTTTGTGAACTGGTTTGGTACCTCGACCTATTATTCCCTGGTCTGTTGTTGTTGGGTTGGAACTTGCTGTGGCTTTTTTGTTGTTCACAACCACAGGTAGGGAATACGAAACTAGTTCCGATTGAGTGGACTGGACTGGACTGGACTGAACTGAACTGGACTGAACTGAACTGACTATGGGTGAATACCTACCTACCTACCTACCTAATGTGTTGCTTGACAGCCAAGAACACATATAGTTATTCAGGGATAGGCACCTCGGCGTTATACCATTATCCAGTAGTTTAGATCAACATCTACATTTACCTAGGTATAGTTAGCGGTGAGAAGATTGTGTGGAAGGATTGACAAAGTACAGGCGTATGTGTATGACCTACCGCAATGACCTACCATAGTAGCTTATAGATAGGTAGTCACTGGTACGTACGACTGGGAACCACTCGGGGATAGATAGGTACCAATCAAACTACATACCTACCGATGTGTACCTACCTCCCAACATACCTACCTAGGTACACACGTGGTAATACACTTCGTCAGAGAGGTTGAGATGGTGACACTACCTACCTAGTGGTGTACCCACAAGCAAACAACTGCCCAACAATAAGATAAAGGTACCTACATAGCTCTATGTCTCTCGAATAGCTACAGTGACAGTCAAAAAATACTGTCACCTCTTGCCCTATCAGATCTGTGGGGCAGGGTGACAGTATTTTTTGATTATGAGTTTATGTAGGCGTCAATTGTCCTTGTCCTTAAAGGTACCCGGAATTCATTCACCTTTACTTCACCTCCTTTCTCTGTACTGTTGCAAAGTTCCGGTACTTACTTATACCTAAGTACCATGGCTGATGAGCGTTTGTCTTCTGTCCCTAGAGGTAATAATCGCAATCACACCTCTATATACCTAGGTACTTAGCAGGACAAAAGTCCACATACGTCTGTCTAGACACCGACCGCACCGAAGATTTTCTCCTCGGCTAAGTTGAAGTTACTTAGCTAAATCCAACAGCGCGGCTTAGCCAAGTAGGTAGATGAAGAGCAACCTAGGTAGGTAGGACCGGCTTGTACGACCAAGTTCATGTTTTACCTATACGAGGTGTGTTCATTTCACAAGGTATACAAGGCTCGTGTTTCTGTGGCTCTGTGAAATAGGGGGATTTAAAGTTGTGTGTTGATACCTACGTACTTGCACCTAATGGCCGTGTGTATGTAGGTAAGTAACTACCTCGAGATACTGCCGTTCTGATATCTGGTTGGTTGCCCTACGACTGACTAGTACTTAGTTTTGTCGGAACGGGACTTTCATGTTGTCTTGGACTCCGAGAGCTTCTCACTTGTGTGTGCGTGTGTGTCCGAGTTTGGGTGGGTAACTAACTAACTAGGTAGTTAGGTAGCCAGTTGGTAGGACGCGAGTGAGTCTTCCCCTTGCGGCGCGTCCGAGATATCTATCTGCTGTGTCACCAGCATTCGTTCCGTCATAACAAGTGGACGAAAGAGAGAAAAGAAGTGGGCAACAAGACGAAGGAAAGTATGGATGAACGGAAGATAAGCCGACTGAGACGAGTAAGGCGATATGTACGTCGACTTGTACTCTCCTACCTACCCTCGTTCCATGATACACTCGGCAATTTTGAACTGTTGGAAGCGGATCTGGTAACAGTTTTTTTTTATTTTTTATTTTTTTTTTATCACTGCTGGCCAAGTTATTTATTGAATCATTGTCAACTTACGCGTGCAGCACGACAGCCAAAAAGATCTTTATCATGATTTGATATGGCTCTTCTCTCAGACTAATCAGTGGGTCAGCGGGTTGACCAAATCACTGACACTGCACCTGCGCCTCCCGCTCGCTTTCGACTCCTTCCCGCTTTTGTCATTAACCCCCCTCAAATGCCAAAACTTACAAGCGCGGGGACACAACATCCTCTCATTCGGTTTCTTCTAGTAAATAGTCAAAAAGCATCAAAGAGGCGTGGTTAAGTCAGCGCTTCTGAACAAACAGCAGCAAGATCAGAAGGAGGCTGAGCTGGGTCCTGAGGTTGTGTGTGTGTGTCCCGGCGGCTGTACCTCCTTTCCACGCCGTAGTTAATGTAGTTGTAAGGCGAAGCATCACATGCATCATCAAAAAGCACGAGTTGAAAGTTGAAGTCACCCACCCATCCATGCCCCCGTTTTGGACTTGCACACCACACCACCACACTTTTGAGTCACCTTTTAACCCCATTTTGTTCTAGGGCGAGGATAGGGAGGAGGCGGTTCCATCCCCTCGGGTATGCAGTGGGCCTATGTAGAGTAAGTGTAGCGTAGTACTGTAGTATCCATTATAGAGTTTTCTCGGGGTTTCAGTGTGGTTGGATGCATGCGTGTTACACGTGGTTGGCTGATGGCTACCTGGTAGTCTGTTGGTTGTCCGGCTGTGATTCCCCGTGCAGACAGGCGTCTTGAGTTGTGTGTGTGTGTGTGTGTGTGTGTGTGTTGGCTCCCGACTAATCTTCCGCTCAAGACGGGATGTGGAATTGTGAAAAAAAAAAAAAAAAAAAAAAAATGTTGAGATTCAGATGCCTGATGGAACTCAACGGAAGGTATCAAAGGTCCCGTTTGAAGGGACTTCGTAAGTGTAAGAACCATTGTTGAGAAAAGGAAGAATTTAAGGACATGATTGACAGCATTGCAGAGCCGCAGACAGAGCCTGGCCGTGCAAGTCCAACCATGTAATATCCTCCCAAAAAAAACAAAAAAAAACAAAAAAGAGCCCAAGGACCAAATGCAATGTAAGGGATTTGGTCCGGTAGCTTTGCTGTTAAGGAGCAGGATCGCGATGGGTGTATGGGCAGCTATATGCATGATGATGAGTTTGGTGACGGCTTCCATGGCGGTCTTCGCCCGAAAGAGGCAGAAGAAGTAAGGTAACCAATGGGCCTGTTGCCGAAAATAGATGTACCTACGCTAGAGGTACCTCGATGCCCCTGAGGGCACAATGAGGCGTTTCTTTAGGTAGCTTCCTTCTGGCAGTTCTAGCGCCGCCGTATAAGAGAAGGAAGCGCATTGCCGGGATATTAGCGATGTGGGTCTCTTCCTTTGGTGAGAATGAATATCGATCGACTGACTGATGTGGCCACCCATGGAGTCGAAGTGAGACCCGAAGACTCCGGGGTTTACCAGTGTCTCGGGGAGCAATCTGGAGGTTGTCGGGTTTGCACGATTGGGGAATCAAATGCTGGCTGGCCATCTCGTTACCAGGCGGACCCGCGGAACGAGATATTGCGTAAAATGTCGTTTGAAAAGCGGGATTATATACACGTACACGTACACTACAGTTCTTTCGCATGCATGCCCGCCATGTGGGTGAAATGGTTGGTTGACTTGTGCCTAACCTCAAGTACATATGCACTCAGGGCTCCTCTCTGGGGGAGTTTTCTTGTGTGCTTGACGTGGCAGACGCGCGTAGCAGTGGCAGTGCTTCGGAATGTGGTGTACCTTTTCAGCCTTCCCCGGATGTTGTGGATGACGTCGGCAAGGGCCGCAATGGAGCGGGGCGCCCAGTGGTTCGCTGTCATGAGAACCTCTCGAGCTCCTTAAGAGGATTCATCATTTTGGCGGAGAAAATTAGGGTTATCAATACTCCTGGTGGAGCAGGGGAGGTCAGTCCATAATCTCGTACCCATATTCCTTGTTGCGCAATGAATGGAATCCAAGAGCCTCATTGAAGATACGGTGAACAAGAGGACATTATGACTTGGAAAGTGGTCAAAACATGTAAGGGAAAATAAGAACTTGTAAGTGGAAAAAAGAAAGAAGGACATCATCGCATTCCGTCTCTTGACAACTAACGGTAAACCGCAAAGTGACAAAAACACAGCGGACGGGTAACAACCCAAGAGTTTACCCCCTGCATCCACGCAACCATGCGCCCGCCATCCCTAACCCCTCCAAACCTGGAAAGGCACCCCAAGGGCCCAGCGGAGCCTCCATCTTCTGCATGTACTTAAGGAAAGGTACCTTAACCCCGCCATTATCGATAGGTAGACGAGCATGAGGCTGAGAATGCCCTCTCTGGACCCTCATGGTACCTTGGTTTCAAGAGCTGAACCCCTTTCTCTGAAGGGAGAAATCGTCAAACACTCGAGAGTGCACGGATCCGATGAGGCAGCGAGTGTGTCAAAGGACCCAGAGTGGCTTTATGGATACGGCATCCTGTGTCACCAACGAGGACATGCGAGGCCACCATGGGAATCCTCAAGGACCCAAAAAGGAAAAAGCCACGCGAGACACGGCGTCATGGTGGAACACTCGCTGATGAGACCTTAAAGGTTTGCCCCGAGGGAAGTTAAAGTGGTTGATGACCAGAATATCAAACCATAGCCCAGGCCGATCGCGCCCCATTGGAGCAGCTGGACATGTTGGTCGTCCTGAAACAAATTCGAGTAGGGATACTGTGTGTACGACGTAAGCTATCATGTAGCTGTCACAGAAGTCACTTGCTGCAGCATGTCAAGCCATACAGGACTGACCCTGCCATGTTGTCGAGCTGTGTGTGTCGTCCCCTTTTCCGTCCGATGTTGTCCCCCGTTGGCGACCCTTCCTTCACTTGAGTGTGTCCCGCCCTGCTGATGTACGACCATCAATATAAGCCTTCCTCCTTCTTCCCCGAAGCTTGAGGCTAATCCCCCGAATTCCGATTCACCAGAAACACCAAAACCAGACCAGCGACTTCGCTCCACCAACATCTCGTATCACCCGATCCACTTTGAACCGCATTGTGGTTCTCGGTAACGCAGCACCCCGACGACTCTACCGCCAGGTGGTGCCCCCGTTTGCGCCGGCCCCCTGGCAATAAGGGGTGGGAGATTCTTTGCTGGAATAGTGCGTATAAGGTTGGGCAACAGCGCCCTTTTTTTTCCACGGGTAAAGATGGGAAGCAGAACTTTTGACCCTCCCGTCTACGCTGTGCCTCCGCCGCAGTACTACTACCGAACGCCTGTGTCGCCGGTGTTGCCCGACATGGCCCCTACGAGTGTCGACGCCGGTTCAGTCCGGCGCAAGCCCCTCCACCGAATGAGCACCCTTTCACAACACCTCTCCTCATCTCTTCGTCACAACACTTCATCAGGAAGGGAAAAGGGGATACAGGAGCCCAGCGTGGTCCAGCTACCGCCTACACCAGACTCTGAGACCACCACATCCAAGGCGACTTCTCCAGACACGGACCGAGAAAGTGGAATACAAGACGTCGACCAGGGACCCCCGGCGTCCAAAATCCAACGACGCAAGTCCCGGCTTTCGATGCTGATTCCATCCTTTTTCTTTTCACCAGACGCCGCAGATCAGCAGGGTACTGGGCTAAAAGGTACCACTGGAGCCAGGAAGCAACAACGGCCAGTAACTGCCAGCCCGGCCCCTGCCGCCAATTACGCCAATCCAGAGGCGCAGCAAGCAGCCAGTGTCAGCGACGTCCATAATAAGAACATGGTAATATATCACAACCCGGCCGCCAACTATTCGTCACCCGATGGATTGTTGTTGGGCAGTAACAATAATCCTACTACTAATAGCTCATCCCCTCCTTTGTCGTCTTTACAATCAGGTGTGTTGTTCGACACTATCTTGCCCTCTTTCATACCTACCTTAGCGTACTTTCCCCAACTAACCATCCTTCCCTAAGCGTCGACAATGCCCCTAAAACAGACAAACCTCGGCCCCGCAGCAAGCCGGCCCAGCAACGGGGCCCGCAGTGTCTCCGTCGAAGGTCCCCCGCCGGGAGCTGCCATCCCACCCAACCGTCTCCAGAAACAATCACAGCAACAACAACAAAATCAACAACAACCACCATCCGGCAGCAGCTCACCAACATCCCCTACAGGCAGCCACTCGCGCGGCCGCAGCACTTCCAGCCAACCTTCAGCAACACATAACCGCACTCCCTCAGCAGAACCCCCGCGCATCGTTTCCACTTCGGCAGACTCGAGGCCAACATCAACCCATTCCAACGGCAGCGATGACGGCAGCAGTCCGACAGCTCAAAAGCACAAGCAGAGGAGGAGTTGGTTCGGAGGCCGATCAGGCTCCAACTCGGCGGCCAACAAGGGAGACAGCAATGCGGCCTGGATTGTTGCGCCAGACAGCAAGGCCGAATACAGCACGGCGAACCTCCTGAATGGCGACAAGGTATGACGTGCCCCTCCCTGGGTTACATCCGTCGGGCATCTGTACTCACTCACCTTACCCACCTACCTATACAGGTCCCCGAACTATGGAACGAATCTGGAAACTTGTTCATCTACCTCCATCCTCCCACCAGTGGCCGCGGCCCATCCTTCAAAGTCCATGATTACCTCGTCAGCTCCTCGCAACTATTGCTGTCCGAAATTACCGGCTTCACCAACCCCCGCAAAGCTAGTGCCGGCGGCAGCCTTCTTACAGTCGACGATGCCGCCAACAGGCGACCAGTCCCATCGCCATCAGCCTACGGCGCCAACCCGACTGACGGACATCTGTACCTCCCACTCGAGAATACGAATCTGGACAGCCTCGTTGCAGCAAGGAATTTGTTTGCTCTATTGACCAGCCAACCCATCATTGCCACACACACGTATCCGACCTTGTTTGCGGCGCTCCTTCAAGTGGCTGCCCTGCTCAAGTCCTTGGGCTTCAGAAACCATGACGGATCAACGTTTGGCGAACAGGTCGATGCCGCCTTCAACTCTTTCTTGGACCAGTTTGGCGTTTCGGATGTGAGAGGCAGCCGCGAAAAGACCATCCAGGCCATCATCTTGGGTGAGCATATGCGGTCATGGACGCTCTACAACGAAGCCTTCACCCACGCCGTGGGCAAGTACGAGTCCATTCAGGATCTCAACCTACCCGTCTACAAGAGTATCTCGGTCAGCACCAGGAACAGGCTTGAGCGCGCCTATCTGGATCTCACTAACAGACAGGCCAACGCCAACCTTCGTCTCGAAAGCTTCGAGTTCCCTTCCCTGTTTGCTGGCATTGGCAGCTCGACATCCAGTGAGGAGGCCAAGCACTTGAACTTCAAGGAATGGCAAAAGTCTTTCGCCAAGATGCGCACCTTTGTTCTTGGCTACTACAAGGACTCGTTTGGCAGCTGGCCACCCAAGGCGCGAAGCAAGAAGAACCACTTCTCCCAGAGTGGTCTCAACCGCCAATGCCTCAAGATGCTTTACTCCGACTGCTGTGCTCTGTACGACCTGCTCGTCGACCGCGAATCCATCACTCCCCGTGTTATCGACCAAAAGTTCGACGACGGTGTTGCGGAAGCCGAGGCCGAGAGGGAAAAGGCCAAGAATGCCGGCGAGTTCGAGTATGAACTCTTCCTGATGCGCTCCGCCCTGCGCGCCATGCTCAGCGAGTTTGACCACTCCTCTCCGCCCGTCCTGCCGCCCATCCCCTTCGACTGCCCCAAGATCCCCTCCATGACCGCCATCCACGAGAACTACCGTGCACTGGACGCCAAGAAGCGGGCCAAGCTCGACCGCAAGCTGGCCTCCAACGAGCTGCTGCTCATGCTCATCAAATCGCGCAACTTAGACACCGACTCGATACAGCTCCCCTTCCTCCAAGCCTTCAAGGAGTTCGAGTACAAGGAGGCCAAGGGTGTCAACCCTTCCGACATCGCCAACCAGCGCGTCGGCTACTGGCTTTTCCTTTACGTCGTTCTGCAGTCCCTGCCTATGCTCGTCGTCGACGCCCCCCAGCTTCACTGGACCGAAGGAGTCGAATACTTCCTCTGCGAGGCTCCCCAGGGCAACCCGCCCTGGATGGAAGATGCCGGCGAAGTCCGCAAAATGTGGTATCAGACCAACAACGGTCAAGGCATCGTAGAGCTGTCAGCGGACGTGGTCATGTTCTCCGTCGAAGGTATCTACATGCGCTCGCACTGCTGGTTGGCTGCCAAGGAATGGGAGGCCGCTCTCCTGCCCGCCTCTGCTGCCGCCGCCGCCGCCATAAACCAGCCACTCGAAGCCGCCGCCGCCGCCTTGGGCGAGGAAATCACCCCCTTGGAACCACCCCGCCCGGTATTCCAAGACAACGACTCCTTCGCCTCGGGCCACCAACGTTCCGGCTCAAGATCACAAAGCAGCTACGGAGGTGGCACTCCCGGTTCCGAACCCGCTTCCCCTCACTTCCGTCCACGGACGGGATCAACAATTAGTCGCAGGGTCTCGTCCTATAGGTCTAGCATCGCCATAGGCCTCGAGCCGCTCGACTTTAGCCAATTTGGCCCCAACGGCCCCTCGTCTCAGCAAGAAGCTGAGTTCATGCAATCTCTCGCTCCCGGCGGTGACCGCAGCTCCCGCGTCGTTTCTACTCCCGCCAACATGCTCTCCGGAGGTGATGGTGGTCGTCCCGACTCGTCCAACTCCACGGCCGCCCACGGCCACCGCGCTAGTTCCGTCGGCAGCGCGCAGACTCTTGCTGCGCTAGGTAACCTGAGCATTGGTGAGGGTCAGGGGAGGTCCAGCGCACCGCCCGCGGCGTACAGAGATCCTTCTAGGGGATCGATTAGTCAACAGGTGCAGCAGCAACAGCAGCAGCAGCAGTATCCGAATCCGAGTGTCAGTCCAAGTCCATTGGGCAGAGGAGAGTCGCCGCCGAGGCAGTCACCCCCTAGGCAGGTGGCGCAACCGGCGGCGCCGGCACCCAGTAATGGGGGGAGCACGTTTGATGATATCTTGAAGGGGATGGGGGGGCAGGAGAAGAAGAAGAAGAAGGGCTTGTTTTTCTGAGTTAGCGTGCAGTTTTTTTTTTTATCTTTAAGGGCAAGCAAGCGGTTGGGTTGAAGTTAAACCAGGATAAAAACAGAGCGTGTTGACACTTGTTTTTGGTTGAGCGCTCGTCGGTAATGGGTGGAAGAAAGTTAGAAAAAAAGGGGAAGGAAAGGAAAGGAAAGGGATGGATGGATGGATATACCATTTTACTAGTTTAGTATGTTGCAACTAGTATAAACCTACGCTAGAACGACTTTGTAATCAGTCAGTGAAAAATAGTTTCTTCATGGTTACTTACTTGCATGAAATACATACATTTGTATTAGTTTTCGTATTTGTACACGGTTTTGGAAAACTTTGTTATAGAAGCATGCATGGCTTAGGACTTATGTTAAGATCAACATTTGATGATATGATATTGAATACGCCTTGATATGTTCATTTTCATTGTGTTTTCTGCCAATGAACATGATGGCTATATCTCCCTCCTCCTCTCCATAGGCAAGTATTATTCTCTCTCTCGCTAACTGGTGCTTATCTTGAGACTTCAGTCAGAAATGAAACAAACTGAGTTGTGCCAAAAATAATCGCTCCTTTCATTCTCATTATCATCATAGCCCTCATGTTTATAAACCACATAAGCATAATAAACACAATGAACCTCATCGCTTGCCCCTTTTTGAAACCAATCGTCCGTCCGATCGTTCAACCCTTTACCATAACCAATTTTATTATAATCCGAAAGTCAGTCATATCTCACCTACTAGCGAGCAACACTCTCCCTTAACCCCTTTGTTCTCAGTGTGAGTTTCGTTGATCCCTCATCAAATGGGAGCTGCTGCTGCTGGGCCAAAGGTGAGCGGGACAGCGGGGACCTAGCACCTGCCGTCCCGTTCCCGTTGCCGTAATGGTAGCCGATAGTTAAACCACCACCTCCACCACCCGTTGTCCTCCGCGTCGTTCGGGGGGTGATGATGGTGGCAGCATCGCTGTCTGTGCTTCCCCTTCTACTCCTGCTACTACTCCTACTCCCGTCGTCGTCGTTCCTACTACTGATTCTTTCGTCATCACCACCTCCACCACCACTGGCGGCTTGACTACTACCATCAACACTCCCATCAAGAATCCCATCCACATCATCATCAAACTTCATGCCCATCCCCACCACTTTCCCCCTTATTCTCCCTAACCACAACCCCCTTACCCCTCCCCTTTTGCGCTCGGGAACCTCGTCCTTCCCTGCACTACAGACCATCAACAACCACTGTAGATTCGGCAGAGTGTGTCGTATGTCCACAACTTTGAGGCCTTGGCTCCAGCAGAGCACTTCGATGTCTCGATTCAGTAGAAACCAGGCGTATTCGAAGCGGTATTGGGCTGTGCTGCCTCCCTTGGGTAAGAAGAGGGGGAATTCCCTGCTAGGATCTGTTTCTTCTCCCAAGCTTGATGGGGAGTTGGATGATGCGGACCGAGAAGATTGGGAGGCGTGAGAGGAATAGGAAGAGGCGTTGGGGTTCATGGGAAAATTGGAAATGTCGTCGCGGATGGTGGAGCGCGAACCGTGCCATTTTATAGGGTAGGGGAGCGGCACGGAGAGGTATAGTTGGAGGTGGTGCACCAAGAGGGCAACGAGACCGAGGGAGGCGGATAGGCTTTCTTCGTGGGGGTATTTTTCTTTGGGGATGCATGATAGGCTGCTGCCGTGAGGAGAAGAGACAAAGCAGTGCGCGGTGGTGGTGGTTGGGTCTAGTACCGTGTTGGCGAGCGGGAGAGAGCAGATTTGGAAGGATAGGGGATCATGCTCTTTCTGCGCTTTCGGGTCTGTCGGGGGAGGAACCGGTTGGATGCGGTAGATGGTCAACAGGTCCTCGCAGATGCGTCGGCGTTGACCGCGGATTTGGTCGCGGACGGAGGAGAGGAGGGCCTTGGACTGTGCGAGCGGTTCGCCGGCTGCGTGATGGACGTCTTCTTCTGCTTTGCGCTGTACGGCCAAGCCGGATTCTATGGCGGCGTTGCGGGCGGCGATGGAGGCGCGCAGGTCGTCGTTGTGCTTCTTTGCGGCGGCCACGATGCGCTTTTGGGCGGAAAGGTACTTGGAGGCTAGCTTGACTTGCTCTTCGGCTTCGGCGAGGGTCCCCACGCCCTTTTGTTTGTCCTCTTCCTGGGCGAGGAGGTCGTTGATTTGGGCGGCGAGGGCGTCACGGGTTGCGAGAGCGTCTTGGATCGAGTTGTTGAGGGTGGCGAGGCGCATGAGGACGTTGTAGGAGGAGGTTGGTAAAGGGGGGACCTCCTTCTTGGGTGGTGGGTATTTGTTGGAGATCTCAAGAGAGTAGATGCCGTCTACCATGTGGAAGACCAGGCTGTTGGGTGGGAAGTTGACGTTCTGAAGGGTGCCGAGCCAGTTGAGGGTGCGGAGGTCGACTTCGTCTTGGAGGAGGAGGCTCCATTGGTCCTGTCGCTTGGTCCATATTCGGACGGTTACTTGGGGAGATCGAGTTATGGTCGAATCCAGGTCGGCAAGCTCGAATAGACGGAAGTTGAAGTTCTGATTGAAGGTGCTTAGCGTGGGTCATGTCTGAGAGGTTATCATGATAAGCGCACCGTAGCTCGTTCAGCAACTTCGCTGATGTATATGGGATCTTCCAGACCGTCGACGTGAAGGGTGAAGAAGGCATCGGCAAGCTTGCTGGCAAAAGTATCTTGGAAGCTCTTTTGTCGTGTGGCGGGGTCGGCGTTGGCCAAGTGGGTGCTGCGGCGTCTGACAGCGGGTGGGCGGAGGTCCTCTGATGATAGCGTATGGTGTAGGTCTGGTCTCTCGCGTAAGGCCTCGAGCTTACCAGCTGTCTTGTTAAGAGCAGCATCGTCAATGGTCCGTCCGTGTTGGCGTGTGAAGGCGAGGTTCCTCAGATAGATGCCGCGTAGATGGCGAAGCTTGCGGTTCTGGGGCAGCAACAACGGGCGGGTCGATTCCGTCGACATGGTATCATTGCGGTGTGTGTGTGTATATGTATGGTCTGGCCGAGTGTAAAGCTTGCCCAAGCTGTCGCGATGAAGATTACTGAAGCTTCCAATTGTTATGATATATGGACTACAACTCTGAGAAAGTCGAAACTTGGAGAGCTCTTGGTTGGTGTGACAGTGTTCCCGTCCTCTGATGACATACGCGCAATGGGGTCGATTGGGGGGTTGCAGTCTTGGCACTACCCTGCACTGTCAGCAGAAGGTCCACAGAAGAAGTGTGGCCCGTGCTCCAATGCTACCTCTACTTACTTGTACGGGCAGTCGGGATTCACATGGTCAGGTTGATAAAACTGAAGTCAGGTCGTTGGGCAGAATCACATTGTATCATTATAGTGTAAACAAATTGGTATCAAACAACCATCAAAATCATCGCCACGTCCCGTTCGAGCACCCATCGCCCATGTCCAACGCTCAAACACTCTCACTCAACCACTACCGATATGCCGATGGGGGATGATACGGCGCAGGTGGTGCCATCAGCTCGGACTCCCCATCACTGCGGAATGGATCAACCGGCGCCGGCGGCTGTCGTCTCGTCGGTCCCCGGTGCCAGCCCGGAATCTCCTCGTTCCTGAAGTCCGCCGTGCTGGGTCCCACATCCTTCATGCCATACATGCGATCGAACTCTTCCTCCTCTATCTGTTGCTTCCGTCGCCTCCAAGCGCAGATGAAGATGATGGCAACAATGGCCACGGCCAGGACCCCGCCCGCTACCGCCACGCCGACCTTGAATCCAGTGGAGAGGCTGACGGGTTTCACACCGTCTTCTTTGTTGCCCTCAGAAGCTCCCTTCGGCTTGTCCGAACCTTCGGAACCCTCGAGCACAACGCTCTGTGATGGGAATCCCACCCTGGAAGTCACGCCTGCTGGCGCGTCCCCTGCTGTGGCCAGTGTCGACATGGTCTCAACATCAACAGAGAGAGATACCGTCCCGGAAAACACCGCCTCGGTCGGCCTGTCGGAGCTTTGCCAGTTGATCTGAATCAACGGAGCATAGAACATGAAATCCTTGTCGTCGGATATCGTCATGGTGGCCAGATCAGCCGGGTCCGATCCGTCGCACGTCACATACTCGACCTCTGTCGATGTGGCTGCCTTGACACATGTTTGGCCATTTTCAACACTGCTGCATTGATAGCCCCTTTACGTCGTCGAATGTCAGTACACCGCTAACCCGGAGGGCGGATCAAGGGCGGCCTACCTTGGACAGCATCCAACTGCCGTCTCTTTGGCGCCGGGCGCGAACTGAAAAGCAAAGTCCGACTTTGCACCACCGCCGCCTGTCGCCGAGCATGCCGTCGCATAACCGGCTGGACAGTGCAGGCCCGGCGAGTAGTACCCCCATCCGTCCAGCGCTTTTGTCCTGGCTTCCGCTCCACTGGCAGTTGGTGGCCAGCAGGACGTGTCGTCCACCGGACCGCCTTTGGAGCATGTCTGACCGAGCCAGCCCGAGGAGGCAACCTTTCCCCCCAACCCAAGGAACTTTCCTGTGACCGCAGCTACTGCTACCGTGCATGCTGGTGGTGGTGTGAATGTCGCCGTCAACGGGCCAAGAACGGCGGTCGCCACGCTAAAGACGGTCGCAGTCGGCGTCATGGTGCTGGTGGCTGTGTTGTGCTTCACGATCCGTCCGTCGCTCGCTTGTTCAAGTTGGCCGGCAACTTCCAAGTATACGATGATGTACGCTTCACAGGTTGAAATCTCCGAGACAAAAATTTCCTTCAGCGGACATCTTCTACTTGAACGGACCACGGCCACGGCCATGCAATTTCACGCAGCAACATCTTAATCTTTCCACACCCGGTTGCGCCCTTACCCACACTACCTACCCACACTCAGTTGCACAATATCTTGGTATGCAAGCGAAGAAACACTCATCCAATTGACGTGGGAAAAACAAACAAGCTGCGTTTCAGGTTCCCGGTAGGATATTCTCTTCATTTGGCCAGGGAGGGTTCAGCCGTTTGTACGTCCCACGGGAAAAGACTGGGATTGTCGAGATGTCTCCTGCCGATCTATGGATGCCGGGACGGAGAACGGCACTGGCGGCTCAGTGGTTGACAGTGCGCGCGCCCTTGGCAAGGCCAAGAAGCGTTTGTGACCGACGATCAGGATCCACGCTGCATTCCGTGGTCGGCATTTGCCCCAGGGCGCGGTAAACCATTATCCCTGGCTTATCCCTGGCGCCGTCCCTGGCGCCGTCCCTTAGCCTTCCATTCTCAACCGTCTCTTCCATCCTAGCGGTAAAAGGGGCGTTTTCCTTCGACGCTGGTTTGCGCCTGTGTGCCGTGTGATGTGTCTCGGGTAGAGGCAGCCAACACCCGAGCCCTTGAGGGACAAGGGTTACAGAGTCTATTACGAAAGGGGGGTCCGATTGATTATTGCAGCAAGCGTGGGAATCTTTATATGAACATCGTCTCATAACTCCTTCATATGATGCCTATCCCACACGTCCACGTGGATCGACATCAATGTGGATGAGGAGACTCTAAGCGAGGTGTCAAGATGAGACTCCAAGCAAGGAGTTGTGATCCAATCTCTTTCTGTCCATCTGCTATCGGAGGACATGATCAACATATTCAAGCTATGCACTAGTGTTACAAGTGTTTACACAACAGTCACCAAAGACATTCAACCCAAAACACATAACCAGAATTCACCAGACCGATACTATCAATGGCTCAACGAAACCTTGTGAAATGCAGCAACATGGCATCTTCCAACTCCATCTCCTCAGCACTCTTATCCATCCCTACCACCTCTTCCATCCCATACCTCCTCCTCAACGCCGGGCCTTCCTCCCCGAAATACCCCCTCTGCCCTTCATATCCCTCCGTACCCTCTCCCTCCCCAAAGCTGGTCCCCATACTTTCATCCTCCTCCCCAAAGTCCTCCACAAACAACCTCTCCTCCCTGATGTAAATCTTCTTTCTATACGCACCCTCCGTCTCCCCCCCGCTAAAGTCACCTGTAGAAGCAGCCGCATGATACCCAAACCCCATATCCCTATCCATAACCCTCTTGATCTCCTGCTCCGTCATCCTCCCCGCATTCATCAGCGGTCCATAATCCCGAAACCTCATCCTGTCCCTTAGCGGATCTTGTTCCATCGGGCTCCTATCCGCTCGCACATCCATCTCGCTCTCCGTCTGTTCGGGCAACGCCTCCCCCACCGGCAAAAGGATGACGCGATGCAACCCCATCGGCAGCGGATCAATCGGCGTTCTCTCTGCCTTGACAATCGCCTCGCTCTCCGACGGCATGTCGTTGATGGTCACCGGATCATAATGCGGGTCCCCAGGTAAGATGGGCCGCGGCGGGATTCGATGGTCCGGCTGCACATGGCTGAAGAAGCCCCAGTCCCAAATCGACGGGTCGTGCACCGCTGCCGTGCTGATTTTGCCCAAAATGAAGGACGAAAACTGCCGCGTCTGGTATGCCGCCCAACTTGATTGGGAATGCTGGTGGTGGTAGTAGCTGTGCGACCATAAGGGGCCGTGGCCAGCCAAAGGATCGATATCCGACCTGTCGGCTTTCACATTTGCTTCGCTGTGCGTCGGCATGGCGTTGATGGTCACCGGATCGTAGTCCTCATCGCCCGGCATGATGGGCCGCGGAGGAATGGGATGGTCGGGTTGTGTGTGACTGAAGTCGCCCCAGTCCCAGATGGACATGTCGTAGATGACCGCATAGTGTTTACGCATAGACCCCGAGAAGTGACGGGTCTGGTACTCGACACCGGCCGTCGGACCGGGGTGCCAGTGCGACCATAACAGGCCGTGGAAGTGGTTCAGGCCCCCGCCGGCGCTGGCGGCCGAGGTGTGTGGAGCGGTGGTGCGCAGAGCGGCTTCGGCGGGCGAGACGGCGTGGGAATCGGTTACTTCCTCTGCGACGAAGCCTTCTTGTTCATAAATGTGGCGCGAGATTTGGAGGGCGTCGATGATGCCGGCGGGGAAAGGGACGTGGGTGCTGGTGGACTTGCAGGCTGCCTTGATGATGCCATGATGCCGAAGGGCACCGCTGGCTTTGGCCAGAGATGAAGCTTTGGTGAGGATGGTCATTCTAGGTTATATGTCTGTGTGGTCTGTAAGGGTTTTGGAGGGTAAGTGTTTGGACAAGTCACTGCTGTAATGCAGGGTGTAGTAATTGAATGAAGGGGGGGAAAGGGGAATGAATGGGAAGGGGCACCATTTACGACATTGGCTTTGGTCGTCTTGATACTCCCGACCAATATGACGGGTCGAGGATGGGTGAGAAGAACGCATGGGCGAGGGGGGATAGGAGAAGGTCAGAGTCACGTCACGGTGATGTGGTAAGGCCACTTGACCCCTCCCTCTTCCTTTTCCTCCGACCACCATCCACATCTTTCTCTCCCCGTCGAACAACTTTTAGCTGTCTGAATGGTTGGATAATGGCTTGTAATTGGATCGTGGTCGAGAGAACCTACCGGACCGGAAGCTTTTACAGTATTGTGAATAACGGACTGTCTAGGATGGATGCGCACGGCCTTGCCAGCTCAAGAAACGGCTTGAGGAGTATCCCCTGGCTCATATAACAGGAAGCTTTCTTTAAGAATCACGGGGATGACGGAAGCTTAAACGGAATCTCCCATTGTACAGTCCAGTACTGGTTTGTTTGTTATTTCGAGACCTCGTGTCAACTTTTCCATGCGTTTGTATAGCTAACTAATGCATAACTTTACCTTGGATACGCCATCTATACTATCCAAAATGCCAGATTAAATCGTGCTAATACCTTTTAATTTATTTGTATAAGCTTTGGGACTATTCGAAAAAGATTACGTCTAGTGCACTATGTATATTATACATACTACCAAGAGTGCCTAGTGTACCAAGCTAATAAACAAACCAGCATCGGACTGTATATAGCCAGCCATGCAAGCACAGCTTCAACCTACCCATTCTATCTACCGGGCATGTATGCCTCCGGCGGCCCCATCGGGGAGGGACCTCGCTTCGCTCGATAGATAAATGCAGTGGTGAGTAAATTGTGTCATGTTCCCTTCTTGATTCTGTACGTATATCATACACCACGATTTCGCCATGTTCCTCCCAAACTGTGTACAATCCTCATGTCCAACGCTCGTTACTTGAATACCCAACCAAGCCCGTTTCCGACTACCGCTTTCCGTATCACCCTACGGCCCCTCCGGTCCCCCTACCACTTCAAAACAGCCTTGATGGCCTTTCCATTGTGTGAATCCTCCAAAGCCTGCTTGTGATCCTTGACATCGTAGAAAGTGACGAACTGGTCCATGGGGAAGTTGCCTTTGGCGTGCTGCTCGATGAGGAAGGGGATGAACTGTTCATAAGTCAGCATCAACCTCCTCTCTTCTCACCATCACCACCACCACCCCAAACCGCCAAAAAACAACAAGCAGAACTCACCTCCTTAGGCAAACTATCCCCCTCACAACTCCCCACATACTCCTTCCCATACGTTAAATGCTCCATCACATCCACACCCACCTCGCTCCCAAACCCAGGTGCACCCACCGTCGCCGCCCTCCCCCTTGTCCCCAGAACATCAATCATGCTCTTGATCACCGCCACCGACCCCGTGCAATCCACCGCGTAATCGACTCCCACCGGCGGACATATCCTCCTCACCTCCTTTTTCATATCTTTGATATCCCCCAACACCGCATGCGTAGCCCCCAACTTTTTCGCCAGCTCCAGTCTCGACGCCTGCAAATCAATCGCTATAATCGTCTTGGCTTTGGCAATATGCGCAGCAGCCATCACGGCCGCCATCCCGACGCTCCCGACTCCAAAGACAGCGATGCTTGACCCGGCTTTAACGCCCAGAGAGTTTAGAACGGCGCCAGCGCCAGTTTGCATCCCGCATCCCATTGGTGCGTGTAACGCGAGGTTCGTCCCCGGAGACACCTTCACACAAGAACTCTTATGGACTAACGTATGTCGCGCAAAGGATGATTGGCCGAAGAATTGCGAAAAGATGGGTTTGTTGGTGTCTGGTGTTAAGAAGGTTGCATAGGATGGGTCCGTGAATGGGTTGTCAGACTTGAGGGAAGAGGAATCGATAGAGCCGTCGGGAAGGACGGGTAAAGGACGGCAGCCGGAAAAGTTGCGGGCGTTGAAGGAGTGGCAGTAGGAGGGATGGCCGGAGAGACAAGGAGGGCAGGATTCGCAGTGGGAAAAGGAGAGGAGGACGGAGTCGCCTGGGGAGAGGTTGGCGATGGAGGAAGAGCCGACGGAGAGAACTTTGCCGGCGCCTGGATTGGCAGTTAGTATATGTCGGTGAGGTAAGGGGGGGCGGGGAGGATGGTGGTGGTTTTGTGTTGGTGTTTAAGGGTGTTGTCCATCCGGTGTTTTGTGTCTTTGGGTTGGGGTTACATAGAGGGAGGGAAATCTGGAGTTCAACGGTTGGGGGTAACAAGGATGTGATCGATGCTCGAGATGAAGAGATTTTCAAAAAGGAAAATGCGAACCTTCATGACCCAACACGGCGCCGGGTCTGCATGGCAACAAGCCGGTGGCGCACGACAGATCGGTGTGGCAGATTCCGAAAGCCTCGATCTCGACGAGGACTTCGTCTGGTTGGATGTCGTTGAGCCGGACTTCTTGAAGCTCGAACTGGCCGTTGAGTTTGGGGATGACAAGGGCGGTGGTTGTGCGGGGAGCTGCCATCATTGCTGTGGTGATTGAGGGATATTTAGATTTAGATGTCTGAGTGTCTGTATGCTGTGAAAAGGAAAATGGCGAGATTACATCGAGACACAGTGAAATGATGGCATCTATCAAGGGACTACAAGAGGTAAACAAAACCACGACACTTCCCCTTGGTTACAAGCCTGGCATCAGATAAGGGGGAATGGGTTTTCGGGCCCAGTTCCGGACGTTCCGTCCTTCCAAATCTGGAAACCAGAACAGCCTTATAATATGCCGATGGAGTGGAATGCAAGATCGGGACGGGATCCCCATTGTATTCTCCAGCCTCTCCCACCCCCGTTCCCGACAGTTTGGTGATGGAGGTGCTGACGGAGATGCTGTTGATGGAGGACCGATCACTGGGGAAAAAGGGAAACTGGAAATCCAGTTTCCTTGTTCCTTGTTCCTGGTTGTGCCAGCCACTCAGCTTCCCCGCTCTCTACATCCGCGTCCGTCTGCGGCAGTTGTTTATGTAGAATATGAGGTATCGGAGTGGTGGTGGGAGGGGACTTTTGACCGTCCGTTCAGCGTTGAACAAGGTCGGCAGACAAAGAGAGGCAGAGGATTGTGTCAGTGGGTTCTCTAAGCCATCATGACCGGTCTTTAAAAGGGAATCCTTGGGATCACATGGAGGTGTTTTGGAGAAGGAGGAGAGAGAGATCCCCAAGCTCGGAGGCCCACCGACAAGCCCGGAGCCGGTGATGTCCACTTCGTAACGCGGGCCAGTGGAGAAGGGCCAGACCCCCGCTCGGCCCCGCTCGCCCCGCCGTCCCTCATTCCCCGTCCCGGGCGGGTGCGACTCTTGGTTGTAACCAAACAAAAAGGGATGCACAGAACGGCGACAATCATTCATGCAGCTAGACAAACCCTCTCCACTTCTCCAGTGTCGTCTCCATCGCTACTAGCATGTGAGCATGTGAGATGGATGCTTTTGTGATACCGAACGGCACCTAATGTATAGTGTACAACCTCTGCCGGCATTTGAAAGGTTAGCGCGATGAACTGCAAAGAGGCCATAACCTTATTTTCCGTGAGAAGATGGCCGTTTCTCACACCCGTAAGGTGGACATACTAGAGAGCTTGTTGACGGTCGTCACCCATCACCAGCTAGCTCACCAGCTAACTTCAAAGAAGAAGCCGTGGTAGCTTCATTCAGGTAGCACCAGGCCCTGGCCGTTAGAATCAATGATCGCCGCCGTCTGCTGCTCGACACAACGGACACACTGCATGTGATCGCTTCAACGGTGGGGAACGGCACTTTTTGGCTTCTTCCGCGGTAGGTTTTGCTTTTTGGGCGTGGCTTCGCTGTGTGTGTGTGCGTTCAGGTCCAATATCTGAGAATGCCAGACACACAATGGGAGGTTGAAGAAGGAAAGAGACTGAAGAGGGTCTGAACTCTGAAGGTGGTATGTACATGATTTCGGAGTACTGGTGGGATATACTCGGTACGTACCTACCTTTTCCTTTTTTGGAGTTACATAGTTTGAGGAGGTTTTGTGGATCCCTGTTACCCCATGATTACCACCACTACAACCACCACCACCACCGTAGTCCCCAAATATGAGACATCAACTGTCTTCCGTGTTTCTCTTTACTTTTTCCACCTCTTCCCCTACCCTTCCTGCCCTTCTTAGCCCTTCCTAGCCCTTCCTAGCCCTTCCTAGCCTTTCTCAGGCCTCCCAACTCCTCCGCCCATCACCGCCCGTAAGCAATCCCGTGCCGTAGTTCGTACCTACTCCATCTTATTCAGGTCCAGGCTTTATCCCGCTCGGCTCCTAGAGGTACCTGCCCGACTCCAAGGGGAAACACCAGAGCCCCAGCAAGCCAGATACATATGCAGTGGCGGCAACGTAGTATCTATCTACCGATGCAGGACAGATCTGCCAGACCACAGTACGTTCGATGTGAATGTGAATGTAACTCGGCAGGAAGATATCACCTACCCATGCATTAACGGGTACACACATGTGCATCAGATACGAGGAGAAAGGTGGGTGATATATCGACTGGCTGGCTGGCTGGGTGAGTGGATGAGTGCCGGCGGAGTATCGGACTCTCAGGAGGAAGCCACGCATGTTAAAAAAAAGAAAGAAAAGAAAAAAAGAAGAAAGAAAAAAGGAAAGAAAGAAAAAAAAAAAAGAGAGAAAGAGGTTGGATATCTGTCGAGAAACCTCCTCCCCGCCCAAACAGAGGGAGGAGTGATAGACCAGAAGGATGAATGATCTCAAGCGAGATGTTGCTTCTTTCTTTCTTAGCTACCGAGCTTTTCCTATCTAGCTCTCTCTAGTTATCATGCTGAGTGATGGGTGAGACATTGCTATGTACATATTATCACGGCGGTGACGAGATGCATTTGATCTTTTATTTTCCCGGACCAAAGGGAACCGAGAAGGTTGAACACAGCGAGGAGGGGGGGATCTGCTTCCGACCTTTGACCGTGCCGGGTGTGGAATTCGGCAATGTAGTCAGTTATGAGGCATGCCTGCAGCAGTTGGGTTGGTTGGTCTCGACTATCAAGGCAAGAAATTGAGCAGGGCGTGCTTCCAACCAGACAAGGCATGTAAGACGCCCATAGTCCAGGCCTTTAATTCGCAAGACCAAGCAATGCCACTAGGAACAAATACTAGAGAGATGATGTTCAAATATCTGTGGTGTATCCTATCCTCCTCGCACGCTAAGACTACCATTCCCACTCGCTTGCTTACTTGCTTGCTTGCCGAGACAGTATATCTTGATGGTACCGGTTACATATACCGGTTACATATCATCAATACATCTCTCTTCCTCCAGCTCAATCCCTCCCAGATAAACTTAACAAACACTCAAAAGAAGGCAAAAAAGAAATTTGAAAGAAAACTACTATCATATCAAACATCAAAGCACATAAACAAAAGAATCGAAACACAAACCTCCCTCAGTCCCAGGATCAAACCTTAGTAGAACTCAACTTCGGCACCCAATTCATGCCCTGCTTCCACTGCTTCGTCTCCGGATCCAGACACTCCCTCTCCGCCGCGAACCACTCCTCCTCCATGATCCCTTTCCTCCTCTCATCCCTAGGCGTGATCGTCGCGGGATACTCCTCAGGCATGCAGACAAACCCCTGCGTAAGCTTCTCCTGGTCAGGAATGATCTCCTTTCCATCCACCCCAAGCTTGGGCGCGATATTGAATCCCCACAGCATGCGCGCAACGCCAAGAAAAAGCGAGCGCTCGGCAACGTGAATGCCAGGGCAAATACGACGGCCGGCACCAAAAGTGAACTGGTCGCGCTTGGCAGGATCCGGGTTGGCGGCCGAGTCAGCGAGGGAAAGCTTGTCGTCCATGTGCCGCTCGGGCTTGAACCTCCGGGGCTCAGGCGCGCGGACGGGGTCGTGGTTGATGGCCCAGGCGTTGTTGACGACGGCAGCATGGGCGGGGATCAGGTAGCCGTTGTAGTAGTCGTCCTGGGTGACGGCGTGCGGGACGGCGCCCATGATGGTGGTGGGCATCCAGCGGAGGGACTCCTTGACGATGGCGCGGCTGTACTGCAGGTTGGGCTCGTCGTCCATGGTGGGGAGGCGGTCGGGGCCGACGACGCGGTCGATCTCTTCTTGGGCTTTGCGCTGGACTTCAGGATACAGAAGCATGGCTTGGACGAATCCGTAGAGAGTGGACGAGGTGGTGTCGGAGCCGGCTTCGAGAAGGGTGCCGGCGATGTAGGCGGCTTCGTCGTCGCTGAATCCTTCCTTCTTTTGCACGGGCACGGCGTCCTCGCAGAAGCAGTGCGTGATGGTGCCCTTGAGCGTGTCCTCCTTGGCCTTGAGCCAGTGGCCCTTGTAGAGACCGAGTTCCTTCTTGTGCAGCTCCTTGGCCTTCTTGCGGGCGGGGAGGAGAAAGTCCGGAAGGCAACGCAGGATGGGGAAGAAGTCGATGAGCGCGGCCACACCGGTCTGGTTGATCTCGGCGAACTCGGAGAAGCCGTCGAAGAGCTGCCGCATCTTCTCGTCGTTGTAGGTGGGCGTGCGCCACCCGTAGACCATGGTGGTGGTCAGGGCGTTGGAGTAGCGGCGGATATTGTAGAGAAACTCGTCGGGCTTGGTGATCATCTCGTAAAGCATTTGCTTGTTCTCGAGCATTTGGTAGGGGACGTAGGACTTGGCCGAAGAGACGTTGAGGAGAGCGTGGACGAGCTTGCGGGACATACGCCACTTGGCGGTGTAGCCCAGCATCAGAATGCGCATGTCGCCGGAGCAGAGAGTCTGGCCGACGTACATCTCTTGTCTGTGCGAGTACATGTGGCTCTTCTTGTCGAGAAGGTCCTTGACGGCCCTGTCACTGGAGAGAACGACCATGACCTTGGTTCCGAGAATGAGGCTGTAGACGGGGCCATATTCACGAGCCCATTTTTCAAACTGAAGGTGAACATCTTTCGTTGGCATCTATGAACACATCAGGTGTTAGCCATCACTCAATCCTTTTAGTAAAGGCTTTTTGAGGTTTCACATACCAAGTGAAGGTTGCCGAGGATAGGAATGGTCGGGGGACCAGGAGGATAATTCTTTGGTCTCCGTCCAACCATAAGCAGACGGATCAGGAGGGCAATGCCTACCACAATGGGCAGGTATGTTGTGATGACGGCCATTTGTCCTTCTTCCAAGCAAGAACCGGCAACAAGACTCGGTGGTTAGTTGGTGGGAGGATGTTTCTTGGGGTGATAGTTTTCATCTAGTGGCGGAAGCTTCGGGGCAATTAATAGATCTACGAGTCAGTCGTCAACACCAGTACTCGCGTCTTGATGATGGATGCACATCTCGCCAATCTCTCTGACCTTTGGAATTTGATTTTCACACTGCCTCTGCCATTGATGCTCTCCAAGTCCCCAGAGCGACTTGGGATCGGAGTACTGGTGGGATTTGGGGAGGGGATAGGCAAGATGAGCAAGGATGGTAGTATCGGCGATATGGGAGGGCCCGCTCCAAGCAGGTTGGCGGACATGGAGGTGGGATCCAAACACGTGCAACGGCCCGCAGCACAATGTGGATGGTGTGGTGGGGCTGACGGAATAGCTTCAAGTGATCACGCATGTCGATTGTGCGGACTCGGGTGTGGGCGGGTGGGAAACCGCAGATGTCAAGACACCATGAAGGACGGCCACGCTTACCAGCTTGCCTTTCAACCTTCCCACAGTCACCGTGGTACTGGTCACTGTCTCCAGTTTTCGTGGGCCAAGACGGTTGGGCCACAATATCGGTAAGGCAGTTGTCAGATCTTGGGGTGGCACGGTGGCTACTGTAGCTTCGCGGGTGGACACTCAATCATGTCTTACTTCTCAGAAACTGAGTGATGATTCCTTAAAAGAGTGATAGCGCTGTATCCCTTTACTGTGTTGACTGTCAAACCCAAAAGTGCTGCGCCGTCCCAATATCCAACATCATCATCCCTCTTTCGTCACCTTTCCTTGCCCCCGGAATACCTAACCCATTACTCGTTTTGTCATTCATTTTCCTCAAGCTGGATTTTCTTAAAGTCGCTGATCAACTCGTTGACCTGTCGCATGCTGGTTTGGTCGTACTTGATGAGAATCGGGTCGTTCGATTTGCCTTTGCCGCTTCCCGTCAACTCGTCGGGGTAACAGTCCGGAGACGACCCCTTGCCCTGGTTTTCTCTAACGCCGCCTGATGTCTTTCGCGCGATGCGATCCGTGAGGAGACTGCCAAGAAGCCAGTACTCGGCCGAACACCGGATGAAACCGATCCTTTTCCACATGTTTGCGGGTGTGAGGTTGTCGCTGGCTGCCATGCAGTGGGGCGGCGTAGACGACCAGTGGTCGCACCACAACTCCCAGATCGTTATCCAATTATCCAGGCCATTACGGATCGGCACAAGTTGACCTTCTACCCCGAACAAATTCTGGTGCTGGAATATCATATAATGGAACACTGAGCAACAACCACGGATCAGCATTGGTCACCATCATGATGGCGAATGGTGGGATACCAAAAAAAAGGGACAAGATAAAGGGGGCAAAGAAGGCTACTCACCGGAAACAACGACAAACAAATTGAGGGGCCCAAGCCGAGCCAACCTCTGCAACGTGTCTGCGTCAAGGGTGGTGCCGATGACGTTTTCGAGCACGTCGCGGAGCAGAGTGTTGCAAATAGGACTCGACGAAGGCATCCACTGGTAAATCTCCTCGAGGCACTTCTCTGCCGTCGGAGCTTGGAAGACCGCTTCTGGACTAGCCATGTGCATCCTCATCTCCTTAATAACCATGCGGTGAGGGAGATTGTTGAAGATCACAAAGGCTGTATCGAGAAGGAATACCCACAGGAAGGTGCTACATGACCCACTCGTCAGTTGCCCGGTTCTTCGATTATTCCAAGGTGCGGGTACGCTTACCGTATAAGTTCTTCCCTCACCACATACTCGTGCCAGTCAAACTCATGTCTGAGCAGCCGGCCATATTCGAGATGCTTCGCCATAGGAATGCCGATGTCTCTCGCCACCTGGCAACGGAATACAAGGTTAGTGTTTCCCAGTACTGTCAAACGCAATACACAAAGCTACTCACAGATACCACAGTGTTGAAGCGATGGCGACGAATCCTCCTCTTGCTAGCGTCTGAACCTTCCCAATTCTGATAAAGGCAGACGATGTACGAAGCTTGCAGGGCTTGAAGTTTTCGTTTGCAATGTAGAGCCGAAGTAGGATTGGCATCATCGTCGGCCGGTGAACCAGGCTCAGTGTCACTGCAAAAGTCGTCATCCGTGAAGACCATCTCCTCAACACAGTTAAACCACACTTTTGCGTCCTTGGTGTCTTGCTCATCCGGAGAGACCGAGGCACCTGATGGGCGTTAGTTTGGCAACTCGACGACGGAATGGCAGAACGCACGTTACTTGCCTGTCAAAGCCATAGCCGCCAGCAGAGTCGGCTTTGCGCTGGTGGGGTCGAAGGAAGGGCGATGCATAAAGTTGACATTTGGATGCCAGCATGACCAGAACAGTTCAAGGAACTTGGCAAACCTCTGCGGCGAGAAGAGTTGAAGACACTCCTGCTCTTTATCGGGTGTCCAAGTCAGAGTACCCAAAGTACTGTTAGACGGTTTATGTCTGACTACATTCATGATCGAAACCACAATCTCTTGCAGCTTGATAATAATTGGATTACTGAGCCAAGAGGACCAAGGAGTCCATGGCATATAGCTATAATCATTCGACGTAGCCGAAGTTGAGACAGCTGACGACGAAGCGGGCGAAAGTGGGGGCTGACCCATATGATTTTGTAGTTGCGGAAACATTGGGTGGAATTCAAGCTGGCCCTGAATCTGTTGCTGTGCTTGGAGGTGTTGTTGCTGCTGCTGCTGCTGCTGCTGTATCTGTTGTAGCTGTTGATGGTGTTTTTGCTGCTCGGCATATGATGCATAGAAGGCATCTACGACCGCCCTCCTTTGCGCATGAGTGCCGCATTCAAACGAGTCAACGAGACCAGTCCTACTAGTGAAATCATACAGGAAGTCAAAAGAGTAGCCACGATGAGTCTCTGAAGAGGGAGTCGACCTGGACGTGGTGTTGCCTTCCGGAGTATCCATTGCATGAGTGCCCATGGGTAGCTCCATCTCAATCCAGTCGGGGATATGGGTGTCCTGGTGTCCAAGCATCGGGAACTGGCCAGCAGCGTCATGAAGGAGGTTGTCGAGGTCGTCAAAGTGGGCCACACCGGGGTGGTTGAAGGGTACATGATGAGGCTGATGAGCTGGATGAGGCTGGTGGGACTGGTGGGACTGTTGGAGAATCTGGGGCACCGGGACTTGGTGATTACGGGGTATCTGGGGAACCGGTACCGGAGCTATTTGAGGGATCTGGGTGAGTGGGTGGGTAACTTGAGCGTGGAGGACGTTGTGATGATGGCGCTGCTGTTGATTGTGTTGCTGCTGGTGTGGATGCTGCTGGTAGGTCTGTTGTTGGTGTTGTTGCGGCTGGAATTGGTGGTGTTGCGGTCGCTGCGGATGCTGCTGCTGCTGCTGCTGCTGCTGTTGATGATGATGTTGTTGGTGCTGGTACTGGTGCTGTTGCTGGAGATAAATCGGCTGATGCTGCTGTTGTTGGTGTTGGTGTTGCTGTTGTTGTTGTCGTTGTTGCTGTCGTTGTTGTTGTTCTTGCTGCTGCTGCTGCTGCTGCTGTTGCTGGTGGAGCTGCTGAGGCTGTTGATGAAGGAACTGTTGATGCTGATACTGCTGAGTCTGCTGCTGCTGTTGTTGCTGTTGCTGCGGCTGCTGTTGTTGTTGTTGCTGTTGCTGCTGAGTGCTGGGCGTGTTGGAAAAGCTCTCAACCGAGTTGGCAGCACTGGTGCTACCCGCTTCTCCGTCCTGGCTTGTCGATGAACTATTAACGCTCGAGTACAAGCATTGGACTGCGCGTTTTGAGCAATTTTGGCAGGGCTGGGCCGAGTTGCAAGCTTTTTTCTGGCGAACGCATCTATCGCACGCCCTTCGGCGGCCAGACGAGCCATGAGGCAGGCCGTCGCATGTCTGAATATGACGCTTCAAGACATCTGTCCGTTGGAAAGAGGCGCTGCACAGAATGCAACGATGTGGGCGTTCCGAGGTGTGTGAAGCGCGATGTCTTTGCAGATGCTCCCGACGCTTGTACGTCTTATAGCAGACGGGGCAGCGATGAACAGGCGCGGCTTCACTCATTTTGGCAGTTGATTCTTCAGATGGATGGTGGCCCTCGTTGTTGCCGTCGCGTCATCTGGCTGAGCTGTGTTGTCATGCCCTCTTCGATGCTGACGTCGTCGAGTAGTCGAAGCCCAAACCTGCCCATAAAGCCGGAGGGCCTGGACGATTTTGGCGGTGGCACGCCTAAGGCCGGACAGGATAGCAGCCGACAGCCGGATTCGTCGATTCTTTGGTGACTGGTTGGCGCAGTTGTTGGCAAAGTGCGGGGTGTGGAGTTTGGCCGGGCGGGAGCTGCGTCTTTACCCTTTTTCGGCCAGGTAGGGTCCAGTTGAGGCCCTTTGGGATCCAGGTCAGGTCCCTGAGAAGTGGAAAATCGAAACTGGGGAAATCTTGGGAATGAGGAGACTGGCGAGAAGTCCAGGACTGGGTTCTCGGGTCGTTTAGGACAGCCGGGTTGGTGGATCCAAAGGGGGGGCTTTGCTGGAGCTTCAGGAGGCGGAACGGGGGTACAGAGCCACAGAGGTCCATCTGATTTCCATGATAGGTCAAAATGCTACTTGTTTGGGCTAGACGGGGGGGGGGGGGGGGGGGGGGGGGGGTTTTTTTACCCCCCCAAAAAA